ATGTGTGTTCGGTACTACTGTTAAGTATTACAAAGAAAAAATAGTAAATTTCAAATGAGATATCAAAAAAAAAACCTATAATGGAAATGGATAATGTGTAGAGATTTGAGTAGTATAAAACAGAATGCTAGATGGATTTGTTATCATAGTTGAATCAAATGCGACTGCTGCAGTAGGCATTAGATTCTATAATATCTAAAATTGGTATGTTGTTTAAATTGAATCATTGAACATACACAAAATTAATTTAAAGACTCCCAGTCAATAGCTTTAAAAAGTAACCAGGGACTCTTCTTTTTATTGTTTGTCAAAACCTAACTATTTACAATGATCAAAAAATATTACTCCTAGAAGCTAATAGCAGTGGATTACTAATAAAGTGTTAATCAAATTATTATTACCTCCTCTAGATTATTAATGACAGGCTTTACAATGGAGGTCAACTCTGGATGTAAATTAACTGTTGAAATTAACATATAAGTAAATTAGATTAATACATTAAACACCAAAAGTATCAACATTTAAAACAACTCATAAATCGAACACTAATAAATAATAATTAATAAATTTAATTATTGAACATTTTGAACCGGTTTAAACCACGGACGTGATATCTATTGGATAATTTATTTTGTGATACTAATACAAACTGATAAAAGATAACAGAATAAACAGCTGTTACTTAACATCACGAACATAATTATTAATTATTACACCGAGTTATGACTTATATAATTTTTAATTTACGCTATAATATTATTACATACGCAATAGGTACGCATAACTTGCAAAAAAATTGAATTATTGTAAAAACACTAAAAACTAAAAATCAATATACGAACACAGATAATGTTCTTACCATCAAGTTTTATAATAGGTCGATTCATTTAATATGTACCTAATGCACTTGTAGGACGGAGACAAAAAATGGACGTGTGGCGTCCTCTTAAAAATAAACTCGGCGAGTCGTGGGAGCACGAATGCACGGAAATAAAAACACTGTATAATAATTTATATTATTATATTATTCTCGTGGTGGTCCTAATTTTTAAATAAATAAATAATAATTTTTAAACGTGACAATTCGAGACCGGTCGATTGTCGAAAAACTGTCGGGTGCACTTTAAATGTTATGGTATAATCAAATATAATAATAATACAGTGAAGTCTCTAAATATTACGGTCTCTGAAATGTTGTCTGCTATTCGGAGGGTTCAGTTATTGTAAAGAGTTCGTAGTTTTTTCTCAAAAAAAAATAAATTCCGCTATTTGGAAGTGTCCGTTGTGAAAGGATTCACTGTAATAATAATAATAATAATATCGTTAATACACGATCGAACGTATAAACGTTTCAACAGCACAAATGCACAATATTGACTCTGCAGCAGTGTTGTGTTATACACAGAATTTTAGGATCGCATGTAAAAGAATAACACATGAAATATTGACGTACTTGAAATTGAACCGTTTTTAAGTGCTGCATTTTTTTTAAACTCATGTTATTATTATATTCCTAGTTATTTACTATATAGTATTTGGATCTTTAAAATTAAAATTAGCAAGTCCAAACTTTCGCCGTGAAATCAAAAAAATAATACTTGCAGAGCCAAATTCGCGCGTAGTCCACTCATTTAGACTCGGAACACTTCGAAATCGGCACCAACCGAAAGCTAACGATTAGCAATAATTTGCGAGATACCCGTAAGGCCGCTACGAGCTTTGAAGTTTTAAAGTTAGTACTTAGTATACACCCAAAAAATTTCAGTCGAAAGCATGCGGCATACTAATAATAATTAAAAGTGATCGCCGCGCAATTGCAATACTGTCACGACTCTTCGTCTATGCAAATGGTCGTGCAGTTGTGTCATAGAATTATACAATTTATAATAATTAGCCCCATGTGGGTATACTGACACAAATAATACAGTGAGAGCTCTCTTAACGGACACCCCCGATAGTAGGGTCTAGGGGACGTATTTTTTGGGAACAACTATAAACTTTTTACAAGCCGAACCATCTGAATATCAGACACCTCCTAATAGCAAACAAAATGTCAGTGACTGGGAGTGTTCAGTATTTAGAGGTCTCGCTGTATTGCAGGTCGAGAAACCGCATACGAGCGACGGGTATGGACTATGGACGGTCAATCATCGTCGTCTGCAGCTCATTCAGTGTACCTATAGAGACTAGAGAGGGTAATGCACAAATTGGTAGGCACTCGATAAATTAATAAATTAATTATAATTACAATAAATTATAATTACAATAATTTATAATTATCTATAATTATAAATACGCGTCCAGAAACCAACTCGGTGGGTGAAGGGCGTCGGGTAATGCACAACGGCCCTATAACCAGTGGACAGTGACGCTAAATGCCTATTGCCCATATTACACTCGCACGCAAAGATATCCATCACAGCTGTGGCAGAGTTGGTTCATGATCTGAGGTCTGTTTCATAAAAAAAACAAGTTGTAAAATTACAAGTGACAACTGACAAGTAACATGTAAAAATAGACAAGCCCAATTAATAGGCGTTTCATAAAAATGTAATCAAGTCGAAAATGAATAATTGTCAAATTAATAGCGTTTTACTTTTACAAGTCAGCTGTTTTAACTTTTTACATACTGATAAGAGATGTGTGATAATATTCGATTTATCCAATTTTGAACAAGAAGTCAAGAAATCAGAATTAAGAAAGCATTAAACTTTAAAATATTTAATATGACCAAAATGGCAAAATAACTAATGAAATACTCCTTGAATCCATTAAGGAACATCAATATGTGTTGTTTGGAGTTTTTTCAAGTAAACTTACCCACCAAGACAAAGAAAAGGCTTGGAAAAAAGTTTTAGACACTGCCAAAGCCTAAAAGTGTAATTTAAAAATCATTTAAGTAATTGTATTATATTTAATAGGTATTGATTTACATTATTTGTTTCAACATTTATTAACTTAAGTACCTACCTACTAGACGTTTTTTAATTAACTTAACTGTAATAAAGATGTAATTTTATCTTATGTATGATTTAAATTATCTAAAATTGGGGATTCGATACCGTGATTTTCTATTTTTGTCTAACACACGCGCGACATGGTGTTCTAGATGTGTTTTTTGCCAAACATAGGTACCAATTGATCTAATGAAGCGATAAGAATTCTGAAAACATTCGAATTTGTCTCAAGTCTACTTGAAATCGACTTTCCCACATTTTTGATATTATCCCCCAAATTTTTTGAAATGTCTTATTCAAAAAGAGTATTTAAAAATTCTGTTATTTCAATTTTTGGAGAAGTTAAAATCAAAAAATCAAAAATGTGGGAAAGTCGACTACAAGTAGACTTGACGACAAATTCAAAACTGTTTTCAGAAATCTTATCGCTTCAATAGATCAATTGGAATGTTTGGCAAAAAACACGTCTAAAATACTATGTCACGCGTGTGTTGGACAAAAACAGAAAATCACGGTATCGAATCCCCTTAATTATCTGTTGCAACCAATTTTTTTATATGTTCTCCATTACCTAATGGAAAATGTTGTAATTCTTTCTCTGGTTCATCATCGCTTAATTCATCATTGCTTCTGTGATTTTCATATTCCTCCAACATAATATCTGCATCATGGTCCCTAGCTAAATTATATAAGGCGGTACACTGGTACACTCTTGAAATATATTGCGGGTTACTTCTGGTCCAAGTCGCATGTAATTTAAACAGGGAAACTTTTCTTTTAAAATTCCAAACGCATTTTCGATTATTCGTCTTGTTTTTTTATGGCGACAAACAAATGAAAGTTCTGCTGCATCATTTGGGTTTCTAATGGTAGGTGGTATTTGCCAATCTTTTAAATGATATGCACTATCACCAAGTATAATACCATTAATACCATTTTCAATTGGTGTCCAACCTGATCCATTTTAGAAATTAAACATGCATATTGTCTATTAAATTTTTTAATGAGTATTTTAATTGTTAAATGGATTACTTGCTATGTATAACGGCTAAATAAATATTAAATGGTTGATTAGACGTGAGAAAAGTTATGAAAAAACATGTTAAAATAGTGAAATCAAACCGCTTATAAAAATGTATTATTGCTAATTCTGATTTCTTATTATTCAATGTTTAAGACACAGATATCTATATATTATACTAATTACACGATCTTAGTTAGATAATTTATATATTTTTTTTATATCATAATTGAAAGTCAATCGGTACCTAATAAAATTACCAAAATGTTAGGGGCCAATCATTTAAGCCGGTAAGCCCCGCCCCCGGAGTGCACACTTGTTATTATTAATAATAAAATATCCCAAATTCCCAACTATTTCAACATTATTAATTAGCATTTAAATAATATTGTAAATTGTTGAACTTAAGCAACTAAAGGTAACACTTGGTACATGCATACAATTGATAATTAATTTAAGGTTTAATATTAACCAATTAAAAAATTGTCAAACATTAAATAAATTTAAACACAATAAATTGCTCATAGAAATGATTATTATATTTTACTATTTTTGGATTAGATCATACATGGATACGATCTAAGCATTTTAGGAACACTCGGACTTCAAAACACACTGGTTAAAGGTTATATTATTTTCGTAATGTCGTTATGAACTTCATATTTATAAATGTATGACATACAAGACGTAGTGTATACAACCCATAGACATTAGATAAAACCGGCCGGGAGAATACATATTTCATTATTTTCGATTTGCTATATTTTTTCGATTCTTCCATAGTTATATTAATAATTATCGTGTATTCTGTTTCCGTGTTTTAAGTTTCATAATTACATACTCGACCCTCGAGGTCACGTAGTCAAGTCTCATATTCTTATGTAATTTAATCATTATTCATTGGGTCGTTATAATACTTACACTCTAAAATCATATAAAATTTACTTCTTATTACAAACCTTTTAACGTGAGAGTTGAGCAATATTTTGAAACGTGCCTACCAACAGAGTAATTTTAAAAAAATGGTAAAAGCCGTCTGTGTTTTGAACGGTGAAGATGTCAAAGGTACCATTTTTTTCTCACAAACTGTAAGTACATAATTATATTACAGATACTGTGACTCTTGTTAATTGTATTTATTAATTTATTTTAATTCTTAGGATGACAAATCTCCGGTTGAAATAACTGGTGAATTAACTGGACTAGCTAAAGGCCGCCATGGATTTCATATACATGAATTTGGTGATAACACTAATGGTAAGTTGAATAATATATTTGTACAAGCATTTACTAAAATTTCTAATTTCTACTTTCTAACCTTTTAATTTAGTGTCGTGCTAAAAGGAGGGGGGGGACAAATGGTGCATGTGCTCTAAGCCATGTGCGCTAATACTTTTATCGGCGTCAAATTAAGAGATTTATATTTTTTATTTTTATTAATTTATTTCTAAAAAATGTATGTTCAATTTGTGGAACATTGCGGAATTCAGCATTCAAATCAATTAAGATTGTACATGTTGGAGTTCTTGCAGTAATGGATTTTTTAATCTACTGGTTCTAATCAAATGAATGCTATTAAACCCAAAGGGAATAGAAACGATTAATAATTACCATTAAAATACAATTATTTGAATTTGTATTTCTTTTAATTGCTAGAGAGTAAATAGCCCATCTTAGAAATACCTATTCGACAAAATTTCAGTCTAAAACTTATATTGGTTTCAGGTTTTTAATTTACTTGTCTGTGGTGCTTTACTCGTCATTATTATATTACATTTAAAATAATAAAATATAGTGGAAAATACATACTAATTTGAGTAATTATATTACTGTTAACCTATGGGCTATGATTATGGCCCCATACCACTCACTATACTAGTTGATATAAATAATTCTCATTTTTAAGCATAATATATAACTATAATAAAAGGCTGTTCTTACAATGTCCTGTTAAAGTTAACCGGCACTTAACCAGCCGAATTCTGCCGGTAATAAAATCTGTTAGCATTGACTGACACATTACCAGACATTATAAGAACGGCCCTAAGTCTCAAATCCCGATAAGTGATTTATTATAACATTGTTTTTTAGGTTGTATGAGCTCTGGTCCACATTTTAATCCTTTTGGAAAAACCCATGGAGCTCCTAATGATGAAGTGAGACATGTTGGTGACTTGGGTAATATTGAAGCTCCTGGTTCATCTGTGACAAAAATAGAATTTAATGATCCAATCATATCGCTTACGGGACCTCTCAACATTATAGGTCGTACTTTAGTAGTAAGTACTTTTTTAATTTTTAAATATACAATATAAAGTTTTGAACTAGTTAAGCACTTAAATGATTTATTTATTCCAAGTATAATTCACAGGAATTAAGAAACAATACAATGCATATGATTGTTTTTAAAATTATTTTTAGCGTGATATTACTATTACATTTACTTCACTTAATCTAATAAATATAATATAAAATATTAATTTTATAGGTACACGCCGACCAAGATGATTTAGGTAAAGGAGGACATGAATTAAGTAAAACTACAGGAAATGCTGGAGCCAGAATAGCTTGTGGAGTTATTGGAATCACCAAATAATCAATGTCTACCTAGTATACATTATAATATTTTATTTTGAAATTGTGTTTTATATTAAATGGATTTATAGACATATTGTAGAAGCAATAAAAACAAATAAGTATAAAGTTTAATTAATAATAATACGTAGGTAATTTGTTTATTTTCTTGCTGATTGAACTTCTAAAATTCATAGATTTCAAAAATGTTTACAAATAAAGATTTTGATTGTTTTTAAAGATTTTTTGTGATGATTATGTCTTTAATTTGTTTTCATTATTAATTTTTACATGGTTATATGGTATTATTAATTTTTAGCATGGAAATTAATCTTCATTAAAATAATGTTTAAAAAAGATTGTTTATTTTGTTTTTATTATATTGATAATTTAGTGTACCTATCTGTTTTTTTTTAATCTTCATTTCATAATTTTTTTATCAATTAATTTAACTAAGAAAGTTCACTCTTCATCGGTTTTTTGTAATCTATTTGTCACCAGTAGAATTTGATATATTATGAATATGATTCAATGGATCAATCAAAATATCTTTATAGTTGGTATTTATTTACTCTAGACCATTTTCTGGCTAAGCGAAATGAAAGGTACAAACAAAAAATGTTATTTGTCATACAAACATTTTATTAGTTTAAAAAAATGAATCAGGTAATACATATTATATAAGATAGTAATTTTTCACTGGTACATACTAAGCAAAAAAAAAAATGTAATAGTGAAGTTAAAATAATTATAATTGATCATATTTGTTAATACAGTAGGTATAGTAAAAAATTGTATATTTTTGTTTCCTTTAAACTTACAATATTAACTGTAAGTAGTTTTAACTTTTAAATAATACATAAGTTTAAATAACTGCACAACTACTTTTCTCTCTGAACGGATTAGCTTTCTGCGATGAAAAACCAACCATTAGACAATCTTCCATTTCCCGTTCCCTGATATATTTTATAATATCTTGTATAGCTTGTGAAACAGGTATACGTTTCACGGCTGCTTCTCGGCGAAGCTGTTCCGTTATCTGCCGCTGCTGTTGCAGATTGGAAATCATCATGTCCATGACTGCAGTATCGGATAGGCCTATTTTCGATGGGTGTGGTCACACTTTCAAATAGAAATATAAGTCCAGAGAAAGGACTTGAAGTGACTTGAAGTTGGGGTTTATTAACCAATATGTTAATTAACTAATCGGTTCAAACGTTATGGATAACAACTGTATAAACTGTAAACGAGATTAAGCTGTAATTTATTGTTGAAATAATAATTATGATAATTGACACAAAACGGTTTACACTTCACATTCAACAGTATTCACTATTCGATGAAGCGTATTGTATTAGTAATCGCTATCGCTTTGAGTCCTTGGTCGTAATTGGGGATAGGAAGTGATAAGAAAATTAAAAATCTTATCAGTTAGTACTACAATTCACTAAAAAACCACGGTATTGTTCAGCTGAGCTGTGGTTAGGTTTATCCTCAATTTTGTTCCATGAAATTAATAATATAATAATTTTTCGTATTCACATCTATGAAATATTATGGTAATATGTAAACCACGGTTGATAAACTTTGAATTTTGTAAACCACTGTTATCTTTCATATCCGGCCAATGGCGGACTAAGTTCTTTTGTTGACGTTTTTCTTGCGACTCTTAAAAAGCCGATAATGCCACTTAGTTAGTATTTATCTAAATCTAATCAACTTTTAAAAACAATTGTCCTAATTTACATTTAATGTTTAGTTGTTCTGCTCCAAAAGTTTTATGCAAGTAAGTCCAAAGTAAGCTAGATTCATTTAAAGCTTGTATTTTAGAGAATAATTAATAAATAAATATCCAATGAATTACAACCATCTGGGTATGGTTCTGATTACTTAAGTTGAAATATTTTATAATTTTAAATTCTCTTATTTGTGAAACATGATGTCTATTATCAAATGTAAAGTTTATCGATATTAATTTAATTTGTCAATAGTTGGTTAAGAGTTATAATACTAACTATTATGAATATTGAATATACATATTTTATTATAAGTTGTCATTCAGTTTGACAAATAGTTTAGTTGTTTATTTACTATCGTATCTAATATCACTAATTTATTATTTTCTTGTAGATATGAATATATTACTGTATAAAATATATTAATACAATTTAAATAAAACAATGACAATAAATAAATCTTATTGTCATATATTATGCATAAATACATTTTTATAACAGATTATAACAATTAAATTAAATTTGTTAAAGATCAAACATTTTTAAGCATATTTAGTGTAGGTAGATACCTATGTATATTTAATCTTATGATAACAATTTATTATGTTTGTTTTAATATTCTAGGTAAGATAGAAAGTTGAGAACTAATTTGGACCTAATTTTATATTTAATATGCAAACCATCAAGATGAGAGGTATGTCCCATTTATATTTTACAAATTATTAATAACTAATAAATATGAAATATATTGAGTAAACATACTGGCAGTGAATCTCTAATTTGTTTTTGAATTTATAGAAATTAGCTTAAAATACCATTTGAATCAGATTCTACTTTTTAAAATACTTATCAGAACTTATATCTAAAAAAAAAAAATGATACATTAATTAGTTAAAATATTACTTTTTTAGGTCGCCCTCCAAAGGCAAAATCAACATGTACTATGTGCAATGACTCAAAGCATCCTTTAAATTACGTATTACCTACACAAAATGGAAAAAAAGAATTTTGCTCTGTCAATTGTCTTACAGAATTTCGAAAAGAATACGTAAAGGTAATTATTTTAATAACTAATTTAGTTAATCAGTTATTTAAGGTACAAGAAAATTGTATTATACCGTAATAGTAAGGCCAGTAATAATGGATTAACTAGATTACTGTCATCGATCCGCTAGTGTTAGGTTTATGCAGTTTCTCTTCTGTTAGTTCGCTATAATCTTGGCTTCCTGACTGACCGTCTCCTCCTCTTTGAGAGACAGGATTTTCTTTTGTAGAAGATCCTGAACGTCTCTTCTGCTTCTAGCAGAGTTGGCCCCTCTCAAGGTGATTTGCCGGTAGAGAATGTCTGGGAAGTCAACAACCTTTAGGTGCGCGACTCAGGTGCTCCAAAAGTTGGATTCTGTATTGGAACAACTGCTGTGATTATACCTAAAATGTGTTTATATAACTACTCAGTAGATTCTGTTAATTATGCTTTCAAAGTTTAAAATGTTATTCTCTAATTTAATTTTGATAATTGAAGTTGTAGACATTTTAAACTTTTAATTGTTCTAAAAATATTTTATTGTTAGAAATATTTTAAACAATTAGTTAGTGTTATAAAATTGAGATAAAAACTGTTATTCAATTCCTCTACAGGTTAAATTATGTGAGTCTTAAATTATATTTTTAGTATTAAATATGTATCTTACTATTAATTAAGAATGAGCTTGCAAATTGTTTTTTTTTCTATACCTTGTACTTTGTTACAAAAAATATTTATTATTATAATTATGATTTAACTAAAATTAACCCTGTTGCCATTAATTTAGAACGGATGTGCAAATTGTGATAATATAATTAAAGGCTCTCCAGTTAAACAAGAAAAACAAGAAAATCAAGATTCTACACCCAAAAACTTTTGTTCAACTGCTTGTTTAAACAAACACCAAAGGAAAGAACAAACCAAAAAAAGTTAGTACTTATATTTAATTTTAAAACCCTTACTAAACTTTTAAATTTTTATATAGGAGGTTGTTGTTATGTATGATATAGACATATTATATTTTTTAATAACTTTGTAAATTAAATTAATTTTAAATAAGTTTTAAAATTTTACAAGTTTTGACTAATTAAACATATATTTTAAAATCCTACTCCATTTTCCTAATAGCATTACTTATATTAGATTATTGTATGATTTTTTTAACAGATCATATACAATGGATGCTGTAGTTAATTATAATTTATATACTCTGTACCAGGAGAGAACAATACCTTGTCTCTGCCATCAGTCACTTTGTACAATATAGTAATGTCCTCTCCTGGGAAAATTTTTTTTATAGTTATCCAGTTTTTCAAATACAAATAAGTAATAATTACTAACAATTATGAATCTAATCTTTTTGATGTTTAATATTAAAGTATAATTTACTTGTATTTGATGATATTTTAATAATAAATAATATTTCATATGTTTTCTATATTTCAGCTGTATTTGGAGATGTTCAAGTGGAAAATCCATTTTCTGCCCACGGTAATCCAGTATTTGATTGGGATAATTATCTTAAAGAAACATCAAGCACAGCAGCTCCTACTTATTGTTTTAAACAGGTTAAATAAAGTTAATAATCAGTTGAACAATAATTCTTAATGAATATATAGTATACAGGATGGTTTTTAAGCATGCTCAAATTATACATATATTCACATTACAATTTTTTGAATTTTAAAATATACCTGAAAACTATATTTTCAAATACTTGAGATTTTTTGTACTACTTAAAGTTAATCTAGTAATAATACAAACTTCTGTTTTTCAAATAATAACCTACCTTTTCAACTTTTAATTATTCATAAGATTTTTTTGTTGAGAATTTTGATGTATCTAAATCTAAATATGAGAGAATATTATTTGAGTTTATAACTCAAATACTACTCTAGTACTTAGTGTACTAAGGATAATATAGAAATAAGCGGAGCTTAGATGAATTGAACATTTTAATAATTACTATTAATCTATCAATATAAATAATTTGTGTTAATTATCCAAGTATGATAAATACTACATCTGAAATTACATATATTTTATATGATTGTAAAACCATTTTTAAGGATTGTTTTCCTTAGTATAAATATAATAATAACTGAGAAACTACTCATTAGAATTTTGATTAAGATGCATCAAAATTATCAAGAAAATCATCCACTAAATAATTTAGTGTACAAAAGAGAGGTTTTCATTTGAAAATTAAAGTTTAGGACACTCCTTAAGTAATACAAAAAATATCAGAAATTTGAAAATATGAATTTTAGGCATACTTAAAAATTCTAAAAATCATAATTTGATCAAATGTTCTATTAAAGGAAAAGGGTGAGAAAATAGGTGTGGCAGTCTGCTGTACAGTAAATTACATAGTGGGTCACTGTATTGGATGGTGTTAAATTTGAATTCAGTGATAACATATTGTAAACGGAAAACGGTTCTGAGCAAAAACGATCAGTCAGCTTATGATATATTATAAAATATAATTGATGACATTATTGTGAATCAAGTAATTTATTTACCTATTTACCTAACCTAACTTTGTTTTAAATTTACAATCCTCAGCTATAAAAGTTGAACATTTTATAATTTTTTAACTACAAAATAATTTTTCATTTAATTTTGTCAAAACTCGAACTTCAAATGCTTATAAAACAAATTTGTGGCGCTGTATTTATAATATTTTTCAACTGCTATTGTAACAATACATCAGGAGCCTTTTTGACCAAACAACTATAATTTTAAGAAAAAAAAAAACTAAAAAACTTGAATATTTAAAATATCTGTAAACAGCTCAAAATATGGGTCAAAATTTTATCGTTTATAAAAAATGCTAGTATAAACATTCAGTGACAATTTTATGTATTTACAGTTATTGGTTTTATAGTTACACCAAAATTAATTATTGATTTTGCCAAAAACCAATTTTGTGTAAAAATGAACGTTTTTCCCATATTTTGGTTTTGTTTCCCCTTGATCTTTTAAAAACTATAGAGAATTTTAAACTTTGACCTATCAAACACACCAAATATATTCACTTTTCCATCGAACAAGATATTGAGAAACTCGAAGCAGTGTTACTGCCCCAAACGGTGATGACACAAAAAAAAAAAAATTGTAAAATCAATATATTCATTGCTCTGCTCAGAATCCAAAATGGGGGTGAGCATGCTTTAAAAATCATCCTGTATACTTTTCAATTATAGTATCTCTTAATATTAATACTAATTAATTATTGAAAGTTAATGTAGGCTTAAAAAAAAAGAAAACTAATGTAATTTTATGAAACTTAAATTTATTCTAAATTAAATATTTTCCAAGACTCATTAGAATGAAATATTAATATATATATAGCATGAAGTATCTCCGGAAAATGAATTCAAACCAAGTATGAAATTGGAAGCAGTGGATCCTCGAAACATAACATCCATGTGCATTGCAACTGTCATAGGTGTTGTTGGCCCCAGAATACGTCTTCGTCTAGATGGTGGAGATAATAAAAATGATTTTTGGCGATTAGTTGACTCTTCAGAATTAAAACCCATTGGTTATACAGAAAAAAAAGGCGGGATGTTACAACCCCCACTTGGTACATTTATATTTTATATATTTAAATTTAATTTATGTTGATGAAAGTTAACAATATAGTTTTAAATATGTTTTTAGGTTTTCGTATGAATGGTTCACTATTTCCTATGTTCCTATTGAAGACCCTAAATGGAGCTTTATATTCTCCCGATACTGCTTTTAAATCTGAACCAGATACTCCTACTGACAATTTATTTAAAGTTGGTCAAAAAATTGAAGCTGTTGATAAAAAAAATCCACACCTAATTTGTGTGGCAACTATTGGTAAGTTAACTAATTATATTAATTTATTTTTTATATATTTTATAATAATAAATATTAATCAACTAAATAGTTATATTGTATTATTTGTATTAGGTGATGTTAATAAAAACAATATATTTGTTACATTTGATGGATGGAGAGGTGCATTTGACTATTGGTGTTCATTTGATTCTAGAGATATATTTCCAGTGGGATGGTGTGTAAAAAGTGGCCACCCACTTCAGCCACCTGGTCATAAAGGTAATAAATATTAGACTTGGTAATTAGAGTAAAATAAATTAACAATTAATAAACTATTACAGGATCTCGCTATTCAGGAAGTAGACCTAATAGTGCACAGTCTTCAGCAAATGTGAAACAAAGTTTTAATGATTCTATAAATTTAACTCCAGATAGTGCAAGTGATCTAGAAGCTGGTATCCAAGAATCATGTTCTGGTATTACAAGTTTTAATTAACAATCTTATTTTAATAATAAACTAAAATATTTTTATTTTTAGTATTTATAAACCATGAGTGCAAGTGTGGCCCATTTATGGATTCTTCCAAATTGTTTGAACTTCCTAAGCAATTAGGACCTGGATTAGTGCAAAAAGTTTTGAAAGACACTATACAACATTTAGTAAACACTGCACATGATATTCAATCAGTTACGACATTGATGAAGAAACAAGGTGATAGTACATGTACAATAACAGGTAAAAACAACAAATAGTGATTACTATATACTACGCTTATTTTTATATCATTTATACGGTCAACTAAATCTTAATCTTATCTTTTTTTCATTATTATTGGGATTTAATAATTTATAAAATAAAATATAGTTTTTGACTTATTTAATTACAAATTTTATCCATGGTGTAAGACATTTTTAGGAAGTTTGTAAATCACTGGCATAGTGTAAACTACTTATACCATAGTCCATAATACTTAACTTTAATGTGAATTAGTGATTTATAATAATTTTTTTTTACATGTTTTTGAACTTATTCTTGTTATAATCAATAAGCTCTGAATCACGAAGGCATTATTCTTTTTATTATTATTTGATTGAATAGGACTTAATAGAGATGCACATAACCCAGATTCTTTGCATTGATAAAGATTAACCTGGAGCTTAATCTATCCACTATGACCCCCCCCCCACCACACACACACACCAACACAAAAATGTTCATAAAAATATTAATGTTAATTTCAAACCTATCAATATGTTTAGCTGTATTAATTCATAACATTTTTAAAAAAGTCTGGGTTAAAAGTTTTGAGTTTCATCAAGCAGCAATAATAATTTTTGTAATACACTACAAAATAATAATATTACACAATTTTTTTGTTATTCAGCTACATATGAAGGGAAATCCAGGGTTTTTAAGTTACCAAAAATTGAGAAGACAGATGAGTTCTGGGATTATATCAGAACTCTGTTAGAAGATCTGTCATGCTGCAAAAATTTGTTAAGTCCCGCTTTAAATGTTTGCTCCGAGTGTAAACTAGAAAAGAGTAAATAATACTTAATTACAATAATATAAAAAGTTTTATATTATTAAAACATTTAATTTTATTTTAGATGTGAACGAAGTAATAAAAAATGATAATAAAAGTATAAAACGACATGGTTCACCAGAAAGTTCAACTCCTGATGAAGTAACAGTAGTAACAAAAAAACCATGTACAACTGAACCTGAAATGGAAGCTGCATCTTCTACAACTCCAACTGAAGGGCCTATAAGATTACCTGTAGACCCTGCAGAATGGTCTGTAGAAGATGTTATTCAACATATAAACTGTATAGATTTACAGTTAAATACATTTGCTGATCTTTTTAGAAAACATGTAAGATTTTTTATTTAAGATTAAATTTTCAAAAACATTTTATCAATATTAATATGATAAATAAATAAAATTATTATTTTAGGAAATTGATGGAAAAGCCTTACTATTATTAAACTCTGATACAATGATGAAATACATGGGACTTAAATTAGGACCTGCCTTAAAACTTCAAAACGTAATCAATAGATTAAAACCCCGACGGAGATAAAAGTAAGCTGTATTACTAAAATATCTATTTAATAATGAATTGTGAATTTTATATTCTTAATTATTGATACTTAAGTCACAAAGTATATACATTGTAATTTAGGTATTATAGAATCTACCAGAGTTTAATATAAGATATTTAATAATCGTAATTATTTACTTTTTCCTCTAAAAAATATGTATTCAAATTTTGTTTTACAGGTGAAAAGCTCATTGGAAGCTATTTTAATGTATTATGAATAATTGGTGCTTAGGTAATAGATATTTTACTATGAAATTAATTCACATAAATTTAAATGTTTTTTTTAAGTAATATTACTTATGTTTTCCTTAATAAATATTTTATTTATGAATTTCTATTAACTAACTTTTAATCATTGTACAATTTTTGTTTTCTAATTTATACGGACAATGATTTATTTTTTCCCCTGTATGAAATATAAATAAAAATATAGTTTTCTTATAACTAAATTTTAAATTATATTTTGTTTGTCATTTAACATATTGACTGCGTATGTCTATTTGCAGTTTTCACCCAGTGCATATAATAAAAGTAAAAAACAGTATTCTAAAAATAACATAAAAAACTGCTCCTACATGGTCATACGTTCAAACGATATAAATAAATACATATTTTAAAACATTTGTTTAATCTATTCTAAATAATAATAAAATAACATTAAGCCACACGTATGGAATAATAAACCATTTACTTTAAATATATTTTATTGGACACCAAATTACATCAAACGCATGCTGGTTGACCCTCATGATGACAATTTGTGTCAGTACGCAGTCAACGTGTTAATAATCAATATGTCAAGAGGATGTTACATATTATTTTATTGTTACCTCTGTCTACCATTTATATACATATATTCAACATAATAAATTGACTTTCCACCAGACTAATAGTAAGCTTTAAGCCAATATACAATTAAATTGATATATTGTTCATTATTTTCTCTGTGCTCAGTGTTGATTCTATAATATACAAATTTGGCATTTTGAATGATGGACAGGAATTAATAACAATTTTAACTCTTATAAATGTTGATATTTTGTTTTTCCAGTACAATTCTCTTCTAATTAGTAGCATATTACAGAGTTAAGAAATTATGGTTACAATTTATTTAAACTTTAGTATGATTTTTTTATATCTATAAAATCAGAATATTTTTCTTTACACAATGGTTTTTATTGGGTATATTTAAGTTCTATATTGCCTATTATATTAGTGATTGAATTAATTATTTAATATTATCGTTTTAATAATATATTAATTTGATATTCTGGGAACCAAAACCTCGCTTAGCACAAACCATATAACTATAGTCCATAATATCCTATTAGCTAAAATTATTAGTTTAATTAGTAGTAATTAGCAACAAACAATTTAATATTGAAAAAGGTAATTGTGATCATATAAAAGTTATAACATTTTACACTCCATGGTTTTGTACTTTTAATTTATGTTATTTTTTGTTATTAGCTTTAATTTATGTATAAGATAAATCTGTAATGTTTTATCATGTTTCAATTTTTGTAATATAGGTATATTTTATTTTATTTTTAGTAATAGAAATAATATATATTGTTTATTAATTATATTGTAATATTAATAGCCTAATGGGAGAAAAATGTAATGGCAATTGTTTCTGTGATTTTAGAAATATTTTGATTGATTGTATTGAAAAATTATATTTTTTAAATGAATATAGTATTTTGTTTGCATTTGTATTGTTTTTATAAATATACAACATTTATTATCTTTGATTTTCCAACTTATACATATTTTTATGTCTAAAAGAATTGTAATTGTAACTTTTAAAATAATATCATCTTAGGGGATATGTTGCAAACAGTCATTATTTAGTAATAAATCAAAGTTTAAAATATAAACCTGCAGTAAGAATTTGTCTGCGTCTAGCATAAAGTTTTAAATTTGCATGTTTCCAAAACAACTTGGTGGTCCATATTTATATCTTTTTAACATAGGTAGAATGATTGTATAATTTGTAGTAATAAGTAGGTAGTAGATGTATGGTTAATATAACATAGTTCACTAATAAACAATAATGGGTAAAAAATATTAGTAGGTAAATGTTTTATGCTTTGTTATAGGAATAAAATGTTTTACTTTAAACTGTCATTTTATATGTATTTTTCTTAATAGCAAAAGCCATATAAAAGTATTAATGATAAATAGAACAAGTGAAAAACTATGTTTAAAATATTTATAGGTAGTCTAATTATTTAAATTTTTAGTGCATATTACAATGTGTAAGATGTATTAAAAAAAAAAAAATTAAGACCAGCAAAGTATTTTAAGTAATGAACCTATTTGACTCTATCTTCTTCTATGAGACTAAGTATTATGTATACTTCATCATGATGCAGGATTGTCGGTAGCAAATTTTTCGATATTAATAATATTTATTTAAAAATAAAATCACAATTACTTATTCCAGAACAACTATACTCTGTATGGCGAGAAAACAAGCTGCGGGGAACGGACTGATGTTTGACAAAAATCGGTTTTTTTAAGCATCTCCGACCGTGAAACCCTGCCAAAGGGGAACAGGTTTCGAAGACATGCTGACGAGTGGGGATGCACAGAATCGGCATCTTCTCTCGCTGAACAGAGTATACTTTTTGGTCTATTTATAGGTGTTAGGTGCTTAACAAGCAAATCTCATAGAAAATGTTTGAATTGTAGAATATCGTTGTTCAATCCTATCTTATTATTTTATAGGGTTAGTCAGTTTACAGCTGTACAGGTAATACCTGTTGGGTAGGTATGTAGGTACCTACTATAATGTACTACCTGTAGTATAATATATAGTAAATAACGCCTATTATGTGATCATAATAATTAATATTATATTATAAAACATTGGAGACCCATCAAAATTTGAATTTTCAACTGTCCTTTTAAGTTAATTGTTAATATTTACTTAAACAGCATTAAAAGATTCGAAAATATCAATTATAATTAATATGGAATACTTTTAATCTTGCAAACAGTAATTAGTTGGCACCTATTTAGAAAAACTTTTTTGTAAAATATTATTGTATAGGTACATAGATATAACTGTATAACAATATACTGTCCTGACAGCACATAATGCGATACCATGAGCCCCTCACTGTAAGTATTTTATTTTCGTCAAGGTTTCTGTTCAAGATGAAATGTAAATAAAATTTAAAAGTTATACCTACTTTATTAGTTAGGTAATATAAAATATTTAAATATAGTTTTAATTTTTCTTAATTATAGGATCTATCTAACATTCTAACTATGTAGGTATTCCTACATTTACTAGTCTTTTTCGTAAAATATTAAATATTTAATTATAATAATATAACATATTTATTATTTCTATTAGAGTGAATTTGCCTATTATATCAAACTTTTAGGCTCAAATATTATGTTTGCTTAGTGGTTGGCAGTTTTTCAATATTTTAATTTTCAAGCAATACATGGCCACATGGGTACGTGAAATATTACTAATTATAAATGTCTCGCTCGAAAATTAAAATATTTAAAAATCGCCGACGTTTAAGCATATAATATAATGTTCGTACCTAAAAGTCTAATAATAAATTAATAAATCAATTCACTCTAATATCAAAACTAACAGCACACTATATCGATACTAGTGAATGAAAATTTGGTATGTCGTACGTGTGTAAGACGGAGACAAGTAGACAAAAAATGCAATGGGTTACGTCCTTTTAATAGGTACATCATAAAGCGGTATATTATGAAGGTATTAAAATACCCAGATAAATGTATAGAAAAATCCTTCTCATTTTCAAAAATAGTTGGCCATTTTTTTTTTTTTGTTATTCAATCCTATGTTTAAGTATAACCTCGACGATGATACTTTGTTTTTCCCTTTTCGACTATTAAAATTTACCATTTAGTATTTTATAAAACATATAATAATACGCCATATTGTATACCTAAAACATTTAAAAATGTTGATTTATATTACGCACTATATAGCCCTGTGAGTATATTTTAATTTGTACTTGTCGAAAAAAGTTATTTTTTATTGGTTATGTGGTATTACTGCTTGTGTACAGCATCAGATCAATAACTTAATAACTTTGAACGGCGCGGAGCTGTGGGGCCGTGTATGTGTAAAGTGAAAATTACAAAGCATTAATAATTGTTCTATTGTAGTCTCTACTCTCTAAATGATGTTAAAATGTATGTAATTGCTTTGTAATGTGTACAACTTTCATCATAAATCAAACATCATAAAAAAAAAAATGAGAAAAAAAAATTTTAAATTATCTTTAAAAGTTTTTTGCTTAGAGGATTACAATCTATAGACAATAGGTTTTTCTAAATAGTACACCTAGAAAATATATTATAGTAATCATCATGGTCACTAAATCAGTATCGTGTAAGTTAGCAATTTAGGTATTTGGATACGAACCTAGTACCTATACACATAATAATATCACTGATGACTTAACATGAAAAATTAAAAACAATTTAATTATTTTTCTTTCAGTTATTGCTAAAATCAGACACCTTCAAGATTATCAACTACGACTGAGCTATAACATGCTGCCTTGCCCATCTGGGCTAGACATTGCTAATTGTTTAAAATATTTTTCTCAAGTACTTTTGAGTAAGATTGAAATTTTATGATTTTTTTAATTTATATACATTTCTAGATGAAATTTCTAGTAGGTACCTAGACAAATTAGCGTCTATAAAAAGTGTGTATCCTATTACCGAAGCTGTAGGCACCCTTTTAACTCAAATTGCAAAAATATGCTCCCAAATTTAATAATATATCTATAGATTTCATCATTAAACTATTATTAAAATAATTTTTAAAAAGTGGGTAAGTGGATGTCGCTCTGCTGTGCGGTAGGTTAGTGGGTCAATATGATACACAATATGTATGATAAATATCATTGTATAAGAAAAACGATTTTGAGCGGACACGGTTTGTCAGTCTGGATATTGTATATTGTTATTATTTATTATAGCCTGTAAGTTGAACTAATATTATATTATTATTTTTTATTCGTTTCTATGGTGATAAACAAAACGTTAGAAATTAAAATTACGTTTTTTCGTAACTTGTCGGTGGTTCTTCCGGGGGCATTGAATAACTAGGTATTGAGAAAAATCGAAAAATGACTTCTCTAAAGTACCATCTTGATCCAATTTGCTAAATGATAAGATACTATATGTAGAAATAGAAGCACTACTTCTCGTAGAAATTTTGCATACAAAATAAAAAATAAAAATACCTAATAAACACCATTGTAAAACGACTAACTTCCTCGCTTCCGCTCAGAATCTAAAATATGGTAAACTAACATTTTTTGATTTTCGTTCATAGTATAAAATATAATTAATAGCTTAAGATTATTCTTAATATTTTGAAAATATTATTGAATATGCCATATTATATAGGTACCGTTTATAAATGTAAATAGTTAGGTTACGAAATAATGGCTCACGAATAATGTTTTTGAATTTATTACAATAAAATAACTAACTGTGTTATTCTGTTGTTAATACTTATAATATTCCTAGGTATTTTAGATATTTTGGTTCCAATATAAACTACGTCTTATGAAAAAACCTTATTTTAAATTTTCAATCCTTAACTATAAAAATTGAATATTTAATACATTTTTAAAATGTTCGTTATTTTGATAAATCTTGTCAAAATATTAACTTTAAATGCTTATAAAAAATAATATGTATCTTTAATATTTTGAAAATAGGTATTAATCTTTAACACAATATTTTTGGATTCTGAGTGGATTCTAACTTTCCCAGTAGTTTTCAATAGCGCCGTGAAAAACAAAAGAAAAATTAAGGAAAAACAGGAAATTTTACGCAAGATCTGTTTTCAAGAAAATCGATTTTGGTTTTTGGTGTAGCTTTAAAACAAATGACAAATTAAATGTTCACTGGTTGTTTATATTAGCATTTTATATACACGATAACATTTTCAAAATATTTTGATTTATTTTGAACTGTTTAGGGACATTTTCAGTTTCCAATTTTATTAGTTTTTTTTATGAATATCAATATCGATATCGGTTAAAAAAGCTTGAAAATTTAATAGAGGGCTTCTAGTATATTGTTTCAACGGCAGATGAAAAATATTAAAAATCCTTAGTCACAGTTTTTTTTTATAAGCATTTAAAGTCCAAAAATTGACAACATATGGAAAAATCACGAAAATTAGCAAATTATTTTGAGTTAAAAATTCGTAAAATTTTTTCTTTTTAAATCTAAGATTTTAAAATGTAGTACAAGATTACTCATAAGTTTGTCTACCAGCTACCTTTATCAATAAAAAAATCTCTACCGGAAAGTCAAATTAAATTTTTATGAGCGTTTGAAATTCAAATTTTTACAACATTGGATATTCACTCGATTTCTCATGTAGCGATTTCCTTATTTTGTTGTAATTCAAAAACGAATAACTGCAGATACATGAAAATTTTACTGAATATTTATATTAGCATTTCCTAAACACCATACAATTTTGAAAATATTTTGACTCTTTTTGAGCTGTTTACGGATTTCAGTTTTCAATTATTTAAGTTTTTTTTCTATAAATATCAATAAAGTTTTATCTGTTGGGCCAAAAAGTGTAAAAATTTAGTACAAGGCTCCTGATTTATTGTTACAAAATATATAATCACTCATAAGGAACATTGTAGGTAAAATATTTTTAAGTTTTTTGACCTACGCCTAGAGAACATTTTTATCGACAATAAGTAAAAAAAAAAAATTAATACAAATCGAAAATTTCTTATGCCTATAAAATAAAAATAGCTAAAAAAATGTCAAAATATTTAGAAAATTTTATGGTGTAGGTATAGAAAATTCTAATATAAACATTCGGTGAAAATGTCATGATTATGTCTACGGCTATTTTTTCTTTAAGCTACACCGAAAAAAACAAAATCAATTTTGTCGAAAACTTGTTTTGCGTATAAATGTTGTTTATTTATTTATTTTTGTTTTTCCCGACGCTTTAAAAACTTCTGGGAATTTTCAATTTTGACCTCTCTAAATTAATATTACCAACTAGATTCACTTTTCAACCATAAATGATTCTGAAGTTGAAAATCAAAACATTACTTCGGTTAGGTACCCTGTCATCTACACGAGTACACGACTACACAAACACAAGAAAATAACACACACAATTGTAAAAACACGTACAATACATTACAATAAATTCGCTCCGCTCAGAATCAAATCGAAATTGAGATCATAAAAAATAAAAATAATTAACAATTAACCTATGTCGTATTTATACAATTTTTCGATGAAATTTTTTGAAAACTAGAACTATTAATAAATAAAATAATCACTAACTGGTACCTACTATATAAGTCATAAGACTAATCAATGATCATAATATTATCTTTCTTTAATACATTCAATTTATTCAATGGATACTGCTATCTGCCATTATTTTATACAATTCAATAGTACCAAATTTCCCTTTCTAGTTTCTACAGTAAAATTTATTGTTATACTCTTCAACATTTTAATAAAAAATATGTATTATGATTTATGTTTCAGCAATGTTAAAAGAAGTTTCAAAATCACCACATGAAATGATTTTATATCCGGAAATGGATGCTACTCGCTTAGCTCTGTATCCAACGTTAGATTACACCGGCTTGTATTCTGCCCTTGAATCATTACTTCATTCTGCATCTTCTATTAATACTGGTTTACAAGGTAGGTACCTATACACTATTTTTTTTATAGATAATTTCTGAGATGCAACTTTTTTTTATTTGGTGGGGAGGGGTGTAAGGGGTAGGGTGTACTTTGGCGTCATAGGCTCAAATTGGGAGAGGCTTGGGGGTGCTAAGCCACCCCAAACTTAGCAGTTTTAATATGCTATATTGCAATATGGTATGCTTGCTTTTAATATATTCAGCCCCCCCAAGTCAAAAGTTGAAATTGTGCCTATGTTTGGCGCCCCTATTATTTTTGAGTTTTATTGGCCTATCAATTTCCAAACTGTATGGAGGTAATTTATGTATCATTTATATTTATTATTTAAAGATACCTATATAATATTATATATTCTCATTTACTGTTATTCTTGAGCATGAGTGAATGACAAAACATATTTCCAACTTTCCAATTTTTTATATTTTTAATTATAAATTATAAATTATAAATTTTAAATATACAAACCTTCAACTCTATACATATTCAATACTTCAAAACATTTTTGTATTTACTATGAAAAAAAAAATTAGTCTGCTTAAATTTTGGAATCACTATTAACAGTTATAAATAGCGTCTCTGGATGGTTTGTTACTGTAATATACCTAAAATAACTCATTATAAATTGACCCATTAACACTTCAGATCTATAAGATATTAAGATGTTTAAACTTTAAAATATATCTTCTATTGGTTTATTTAGATTTTGAATAAATTCTATAGATTAAAATAGATGCCTAATAAATATTTATGAGATGTCTAAGAACGGTCTAAAAGAGATACTCAGCAATGATTAAGGTACCTATATTTAAATGAATAAAACCAATAGTAAATACCAAAATTAAATATTTGTTGAAAATTGAATACAATATTACTTGTATAAATTATTTATTTTGTATCACTGATATTTAATTTACTTTATAATTTATTACCTTACATAATTGCTCATGCATACATAGGCACATATAGTTTGCTTCCTACTATCAATATGCCTATTTATTATAATTAAATTGGTACTTAGTTTTAAACTAAATTTGGATATATTTCTATGCACATAATAAATTTGTTTAGCATTTGGAGAAGCATTCAATCAATGTGTGGCTTGTTTGGTTCCTTTTCTTGGTGGCGATACCTTGGAAAGTTTACCATATATGATCGCAACTGCTTTTCAAGTACTCCCTTCATCAGTACACCATGACTTGATCAACACATTATGTTATTTTGTGATACCATTTACTATACGTAAATTTATTAACATTTATCATTATTCATTAGTCATTACATATCTTTTTTTTTTACTTGACTATGATAATAGCACATTGATTTTGTTTTTTAGCTAGAAATAAATGCATAAACAATGCAGCATTATCTGTAGCTGGGATTTTATTGTTAGTTTTTCAAAATACATTTGACACAGGTAAATTTAAATACTAACTAAAATACCTAACTAAATTTTTATATGTTTTGGTTTGTTATTAGCATTACATTTACAACTAGTTGAACGTCTTATGACATTTAAAAAGAATATAAAAAAAGATTTACTTGTGGTAATTGCATATGGAACTTCAGTAGCAAGGTATCATGCTGCAAGGTTATTATTTAATTATTGGCCTTTGTACAATGCCAATAAATTCGACAGAAATAAACCTAAATCAATTGGTAATTATTTATTTATTATTTCATGTTTGAAAATGATTAATCAATTGTAAAAATTAGATTTACTCACCATCTTTTTTACCAATTTTAAACAGATACATTGTTAAATTGTATATTTTTTAAAATATTTAAGTAGGTAGGTACTCTAAAAATATTTTAGATTCTGAGTGGAACGATTTTACAATGATGTGTGTTTTTTTATTTTTTATTATTTTTATTTTTGTTTCTGTCATCACCTTTTAGGACAATAAAAGTGCTTAGATTTTCTTCAACAGTATCTTTCCTGATAGTTAAGTGAATCTAGTTGGTACTTTGGGGGGTTAAAAGTTTAATTTTTCCAGTAGTTTTAAAAAGCACCGCTAAAAACAAAAAAAAAATTAAGGATAAACGGGAATTTTTACACAAAATGTGTTTTCGAAAAAATCGATTTTGGATTTTGGTGCAACTCTTAAACAAATGACCGTATAGATACATGAAATTTTGACTGAATGTTTATATTAGCATTTTTATACACAAACAATTTTCAAAATACTATGATTTGTTTTGAACTGTTTAGGAACATTTTCATTTTCCACTTTTTTTTATATTTTGTTTCTAAAAATATCAATAAAATTGTATTTGTTGGTTAAAAAAGCTTGAAAATTTAACAGAAGGCCAATAGTATATTGTTTCAAAGCTAGATGAAAAATATTAAAAATCCTTAGTCACAGTTTTATTTTTTTTTTATAAGCAATTAAATTTCAAAAATTGACAAAATATGGAAAAATCACAAAAATTATCAAATTATTGTGAGCTTTTGAAATTCAAATTTCTACAACATTGGATATTCCTCAATTTCTCATGTAACGATTCCCTTATTTTGTTGTAATTCAAAAATGAATAACTGTAGATGTATGGAAATTTTAATGAATGTTTATATTAGCATTTTCTATACACCATAAAATTTTGAAAATATTTTGACTCTTTTTGAGCTGTTTACGGACATTTTCAGTTTTTTTTCCTATAAATATCAATAAAGTTTTATCTGTTGGGCCAAAAAGTGTAAAAATTTAGTACAAGGCTAATGATTTATTGTTACAACATGAGTTGAAAAATATAAAAAATACATAGGCACAAATTTTTTTTATAAGCATTTAAAGATCGAATTTTGACAAAATTTAAAATTAAATAATTATTTTGTAGTTAAAAATTTATAAAATGTTCAACTTTTATATCTAAGGATTGAAAATTTAAAACAAGATTCCACGTAGGTAGTTTATTCTGTTACCAAAAAATCTTAAAAATACATAAGCACAGTTTATTTTTATTGTCATTTTAAGTGCCTTATACCTAGACTGACTGGCATACCGTCTCTGCTCAGAATCGTTTTTCTTATACAATGATATTATATCATTGAATTCAAATTTAATACCATCCATTATACAGTGAACCACTTGTAACCTACTGTACAGCAGAGCACCCTTTTTAGGTTTATTCTTTTGCAACTTTACAATTTTTAATTCAATAAACTCATTAAATATATAAATAATCTGAATATTCCCAACTTGTAATTGCTTATATTTTAAAATCAATGTTCGAAATGTTAATTTATTTTATATTTCATATTAAAAATAATTGATTTAATGAAACTTAATAAAAATTAGGTATTCCACCTATTCTTATTTTAATCATTTCAACTTCATGTACCTACATTGTAGATACAATTTAAAATGGATTTACAAAATATGTGGTAAAATATTATAAAAAGATATTGGAAAATTTTAACTACCTACTTAAGTATTGTTGTAAATGTTACATAAAATTATTGTATAATGAATAACTACGATCAGTTAAAGCAATAATTTTAAATAATACACTATTACTTAATAATTCAAAAATAACTAGGATTTGAATAAAACTAATGTACCATTTTTTCATTATGTGAAGGAAATTGGTTAGCATTGCTATGCCAAAAAAAAAATTGTCCAAAAGTGGGTTATGGTCCTGCTGAACGTGTATGTTTGAATCATGAGTTGTCTATGAAACATGCTGAAAACTGTCCACCACCGTTTTACTTATGCACTGATTGCGCAGAAGATTTACATAATAAAAAACCATCATACCAATTCCATATTGTTTTACAACCATTGCTTTTAGCTACGTGGAAATGTGAATATAAAGTAAATAAAATCAAATTTATAATTATCTTAAATTTTAAATACTACAGATATATTGAAATTACTCAAAGGAATGTAAATCTCAAAATACTATGATTAGTGTGACATGTTTTTCACCTGAGTGTGCATCCATGAATAAAAATCGACCCATTAGATTATGTTCAGATTGTAATAAACACATTCATTCAGAAAATGTTGACCATATTGTTCATTGGACTTTAAAATCAGCTGGAGAATTAGATAATGAGATGCAAACTTATTTGGTTGAGTCAATTGTTAGGTAAATATTTAAAAGATTATTTATAAATTATTTAAAAAAAAATTACATTAAGTAATATATTTTAGTTTATTGAAAGAAGTACGAGCACCTATCTCAGAGGCTACTAAAGAAAGTCAAACTAAAGCAGCTGTATTTGGAGCTAAGGTAAAAGGTACAATGTCATCTAGCAAGACAGATAAAGAAGATGAACAACCAGAAGTCACAATAAATGATAGACAGCTTATGGGAAGAACTGGGGTTTGGCTATTGGTTGCTTTATATCGAATAGAAGATCAAGAACCTCCTCGTTCTAGTATAATGGGAAGATTATTATCTATACTATTTCATTGGTTTCATGTCACTGCTTATTCTTATGATGGTAATTTTGAACTTCAGATATATTTAAATTATTTCTCTTAAAATTGTTTATGATTCTTAATGAGGTAAGCTATTGGTTTTACAATGAAGAAAAACCATAGTTAAACAATTTATAGTTAAAAAATTCCAAAATTCACCTTTGTAAATTTAGATTTATGACTTCAGATGTATCAAAATTGATAGTCATGAAAAAATTAAAAATATTTGTTTTTAATAAATCTGACTTATAACTTTAAATGTTAAAAATGGCAAATAATTTAGTTGGTTATCAGTTTATATAAGATCAAATAGATATAATAGATTAACAAATCAAATGTACCTATAGGCTTGAATAGAATTAGAAGCCTATAGGTAAATATTTCTGTGATTTATATTAATTACTGCATTATTATACCATCTAAAATACAAGTTGCTTGAAATTTCAACTAAAATATATTTATAAATAAAAACAATAATTGCAAATCTTAATAGAGTTGTTTTAAATCAAAAATCAATTATTATAAAAAAACATTAATTGAATATCTATTGATGTGATGATTATATATGCAAATTATAATTTAAAATCAACAAATCACTCATTAGTCATTAGTATATAATTAATTTGTAATACAAACAGAAACTGTAAACTTTATTTTATTAACTGTATATCTGTTTGACTTATTTATGTGTAGACCAACAAGAATGTACTTTAGAGTATATGAAGACAGAATATATAGGTGAGCGATGGCTAAAAGGTGTTAGACAGCATTATTTTGAAGCATTTGTCAACTGTTTATTACCGTGTCCACCAGAATATGCACAAGTTGGTGGTAATTGGTATGTTACCTACTTACCTATATATTATTAAAATGTATTATTTGTAATAATACATATTTTAACATTCAGGGATATGTTAGCAAGTCAAACAGCACTAATTAAAAATGGCTTAAACCAATTACTATGTTTAGTACCTTATGACATTGTCACTTCAGAAATATGGGAGTTAATCATGCCTCATTGGTTAGAAGCTATTGTGCGTGATGTTCCGCCCGATGAATTGCCAGAATTACGGATGCTTTTATGGTAATATAAAATTTATTATAACAATACTCAAGAAAATAAAATCATTAAATAATATTTTAATAAAATTTATGTTTAGCAAAATATTAGACTCGGATATGAATCCTTTAGGGTTTGATGCTACAAAGCTGTACAATTTCATAGGAATACGTTTTAAAGGTACATCTGCCAAAGTTCAAGAACAAGCTTTAACTTGGATTCAGGTATAATAGATTAACTTATTAAAATACTAACTACCATGTTTGATTTAAATTATAATTATATAATATCTTACAGGTATTAACTAGCTTAGAGATTATTATACCAATTCATCTATTATTTAACTTCTTTAAAGATGGGTTAGAGAGCCTCAAAAAAATCTATAACATGGAAAACATAAAAGAATCTGATTTTGTGAAAAGTAATTTAAGTTAGTACTTATTAATATAAATGTAATGAATAAAATAGTTTAAAATTACTTGAGTTGATATTTTTTTAACAATATTTATATATTTCAGATCCTGTTATAATTAAACGTACAGAAAGTGTTACAGACGATGAAGATAAGCAAAATTATTATACTCGGCCAGATTTGTTGGAAGATGATTTGAAACTTAGCTGTTGTGTGTTAATGTTGGACATTACATCAAAACAGGTAAATTAACTTATTATTCATATAAAAATATACATAAAATATAAATAATTTAAAATTAATTCAGATGGAATTGCATGGCATTGAAAGGCATACAGGCTTTGCAAGTGCAATGAATCATGAAGTATGTAAATTAATTACCAACGCCTTAATTACGGGATGGTTTACTGAGTCACACCGAGATTGCGAAAACAAAATGGAATGCATATCTTGTGAATTAATTGTATTATGGCATCAACTGGCAAGTTCATTGGTGGAATATATTTCCTTGCCAAATTTAGCACATCCTCCTGACGTAAGTAAAATATCATAAAATATATTACAGGAACATTTCCAAAGACCAGTTTCTACATAATGACATTGTCTATTGCTATAATTGCAATTAGTATAGTAAAGTATTTTTTATTCAATGACTGATATTGTCATAGAGATATAAATCAATCTCAAATGATCCTAGGTCTTGGATATCCTTGAAAATATCTTCAATATGCCTTTGGCATAATTTAGAAGTAAATATTGATCCTTTTTTACATTTGTATTTAAAGGATCCGATTATAGAAGAATGTTTTTCTGATGAAACAAAAAAAACGCCAACAGAAGTTGATAAAAAGGAATCAAAATGTGAAGGAACTAATTTATCATTTATGCTAACTCCAGACACTATTGGTGGACTTTTAGTTAACATGCCTCAAGTAAAATGTTTATGAATAACATTTTTATAAATAATTATAAGCTTCAGTTTTTATACAAAATAAAATATTATTGACTATTGTTGATAGTTAGCATTGTTTATTAGAAATCTTAAGTTGTTCATTATATAAAAAATTGTATAGAAAATAATTATTCATTAATAATGTTTCAGCTAATGACTGCTACAGTGGAAACTGTTGTAGAGCAATTAGATTTAACTCCAGTAATGCCAGCTATTGCCAGAGCTATTACATTAACAGAATCAGATGTTGGTAATTATTTTTCAACCTTTTTTACTGTTAATTAATGAACTTAATTTTTAAAATGCATATTAACTGATTTAATTATTTAGTTCAGGGGTCGGCACCCATAACTCACTAAGACATTTTTTATGACCTGCAAAAATATGTTAAATTTCCTTGATATTTCAATAATATCTTACAAATATATTTCAATATAATTTAGATCCATTGACTTAATAAATTATAGTTATCAGTATAAAATATCACTACCTATATATATTTATGGGATTTTTCCTAAAATCTAATCAAATAGTGATATAGAGTATGTGTAAGTCGTACACAGTCGTTTGTAATAGTTTTGTAATTTTACTATAATGAGTGACGTGACTTCATAAATTGGCTATGACTATTATAGTGACTTCTAACAAAAATATAATATAAATACAAAAAAAAAAATGTGTGATAAACATTGTTTTTTAAATGTTTCTTGGGTTGATTTATATTTTTCGTTGAGCACAAAGGTAAGCCATTGTGTTTAATTTGTGAAAAAAACAGTTTCAGTTTTGAAAGAATATAACATAAAATTACATTACGATAGTGAACATAAATAGACTTTTGAAACATCATTGGTGATTTAAAAAAGTCATTAATCATTTTCAATCTTTGTTAAATAATCAACAAAATATTTTTAAAAACAAATTAGTCAAAATAAATCTGTAAAGAATTAAAAGAAAACTTTTGTATTTAAAAACTTGTATTTTTTTTAAAGTGATGAATATAGTTATACTTATAACTTATATATATATATATAAATATTAAATATAATTTATTTTAGTAATAATAAATAATGAGTAAAATTTGTTTTTTTTTAAAATTAATGTGGCATTGTGGCCCTTAATAAAAAGTTGAAAAAAAATATGGCCACATGATTAAAAAGGTTGCCTACCCCTGATTTAGATATGAGTAGGTAATGAGATTATTAACTACCATTAATACTGTTTTTAAGGAGTTGCAACAGCAAGAGTTGCACAAGCCAAATTAATGAATGAATACGATGAACCAATAGATGAGTCTGTCCATAATATACAAGATTTTTGGCAAACAGGTCAAGGAAGGTTTCGAATTAAAATTGATGAACTTCCTGACCAGTTACAATTAGTTTATCATATTCTTAAAGTATATACTTCAATAATTCTATATCTAATGAATCTCAGTATGCATAGTCATTGAAAACCTAATTTTTAAATGGACTAGGTTAAAAACTGATTTCATCTTTAGGGCTTAAGTTAAGTTTACAGTGGTAAATTCAGGGGTAAAGCAGAAATTGGCTCCCCTCCGGCACCCAAGTTTTCCTATGTTTTCCACTATAGTACAGTGAAAATCTGTAGTACTGATATTGTAAACAGTTTTGTAATTTTGGCACCTTGCCCCAAAATAAAATAGTCACTGGATCAGCCAATTCAAGTTAATAAATCCAGTGTTTGCTGATTTAAGAAACACTCAATTTTTCAGCCGTTCTATGCTGGGTTGAATATGGTATTTTTTACAAGCCTATAAAACTTATTTCAGTTTTAGTAAAGTAATATTTAAAAGTTTTATGTCTGGTTCATGTCTGTAAAACTTGTATTTTTTAATTAGTATTGCATCATATTTTTGATATCATTCATATTATTCTGCAGTACCTATACTTATTTTTTAAAGATGTTTTGACTTCAATAACTTAAAAATAAAAATTGCATGGCTGAAATATTATATAATATTTAATTATAATTGCAGAGATTGAGTATTCCCTAAAATCCGCAAACACTGACAGTGTATAATATATTAATTGTAATAAAACAAAAATAAAATGTTGTCCATATAAAGTACTGTTGAATTATAACAGATCATTCTTTGAAAAATCATAAATGTGCCTACTCGCAAATGACTATGCATATACCTAGTTTTACTAAATATAGATTTTAGAGGATTTTAAAACTTCAATAACTGTTTTGAAAAATTTAAATAAAAAAATATGGACAAGTGGGTACTTCTCTGCTGTACAGTAGTTGTCAAATATGTTGTTGTAATGGGTGTGTTATATTTTAAGTCAATGGTAAATAATTGAATACGATATTCGAAAAACTATTCTGAGCTGAGATGTTGTGTCCTAATAGCATACTCTTATAAATAATCAAATTTAGTACCTAGTTAAAAAAGAAATTTAATATTAAATAAGAGATTACCAACAAATTTTCCTACCTCTATAAAAAACAAATTCACCGGAAAGTGAATGCTATTTATAGCTATTAAATATTTTTGATTTTTATAAAAAAATATTTAGCTATTAAATTTGATTATTTATATTCATATTATTTAATTCAAATATCGATAGATAAAAATTCGTTAATTTACCAGGGAAAATCCAATACTGTGAACATTTTAAATTCAAAAATTCATAAAAAAATAATGTAACGTTCCGGACTCTGGAAAACATATTTTTTTCTTTGTGCAAGGTTGAACAATTTGGGTGGAATTTCCAAAAAATTTTCTAATGTTGGCCATGAAAATAAAAACTTTTATGAATTTCTAACAAAAAAAAAAGTTTGAAAATTTTTGATTTATTATCAAAATTTGAACTTTAAATGCATATTATAAAAAATAATCGTGCCATTGTAACTTTAATATTTTTAGACTTCCATTAATGAAATTTTTAAGGAACCTTGTATTAATAATATTCAAGAGTTTTTACTATGTGAAAAAGTTTTTATCGAGAATAATTTAAAAAAAAAAATACGAAATTCGTTAAAATTTTCAATGCTTTAATTAGCTCAAAATACTGCATAAATGCTAATATGCTAATATAAATATGATATATTATATTAGTATGAGTTACACAAAAAAAAAACATAAAACCATATTTAAAAAAAAAGGTTTTGCATAAAAATTACCACTTTTTTACATTATTTTTGTTTTTTCTGACGCTTTCTAAAACTACTGGTTAGGTTAGGTCAAAATCAGAAAGATGTTGATGTCGAAAATCAGATCATTTTTACTACCCCAAAAGTTGAATTTAAAAATCAATAGCTTCTTTCTCTACTATAATTACTTATATGGCTATATTATGTTTATTATAATTTTACATTTTTACTTTTATAAATTATTTAATTGCAATATATTTTATTTAGGAATTCCCTAAAACAAATGACACAAGTTTCAAGTATTATTTATTACAGTCCTTGCATCTTGTGGTTCTACATTGTGATACATTAACCAAGGCCGTTAAAGAACATAGAGGATTTGTTATATGGTGTCAAGAAAATTTGATAATTAAAAAGTAAGCACCAATCTTGGCATAGGTAGTATTTAAAGTTTAATTTAACTGAAATACTGTTTACTACATTTTATTATTAATATAGTAAGTACCTATTACTTATACAGGGTGTCCCATGAGGATTTACTCATTAGCCGTAGAGGGGGACTCGCCGCCCGGACAAAAACCAGTTTATTGACGTTTTACTAATAAACTAAAAAAATTATTAAAAATCATGAGATTAATGAAAATAAAATGTTAAAAGCTCAAAATGTTCACAAAAATATACTCTATAGAATGGCTATCTTCAATTTTTTCAAAAATAAAAAAATAATTTTTTTAACTTTTTTACTAAAAAATTTAATTTAATTAAAAAATAAAATATTTGTAGTGCTTACCTCTGCGAGTCTTAATAAAAAAACATAATTACGATATCTCCATTATTTCAGGAGATATCGCAATGAGTAAATCCTCACGGGACACCCTGTATAAGCCATAACTTTTACCATACAAAGAACCATATTTATTAACTTTATTTTAAATAACATACAAAATAAGTAACCATTAATGGTACCTATACACATAATGGAAATTATGTAATTTTTACATTTTATTCGTTTCTATGGTGAGACTGATAAACAAGGCCTTACACAAAATCCTAACCGACCTGGCTCAAAAACATATTTATTTTAAAATGCATTTTTGGATACATTTTTAAAGCTGTCCATTTCTATAGCTTTGGAATATAACAGATATAAAAAGTTATAATTTATCACATCTTTTTAATAAATATAGAATGGAACTAAAATTAGTGTTATGTAAATAAATAATTGAGATTTGAATCATTTCATTAATTTTTTATATTCATTATTTTGTTTTTAGCATTTGGGACTGTATAGAAGGGATTAAATCTCATCTTTGTGAAGTAGCTATACCTGTTATGCTTCATTGTGTATCATTGCCATGCGGCAGTGATATTTTTTGGAAACTAATCAAAGATGAATTTCATAGTTCTGATTGGCGTACTCGTTTCAATGCAGGTATAAACTATACAGAGTATATTAACTGTATTGCATAATTATTCAGCAGTTGTGTATCTATCTAAAAATAAAATATTAAAGTTTTATGACAAATTATAAATTATATGGAGTAATAAAAAAAATTATAAATTTGAATGTTTTCATGTTCCTACTTGTGTGATTTGTAATATAAAATAAGTATTAAAATATTTATTATGATAACATGAGATATTTTATAAAAAAAAAAGTTATTTGAAAGAAAATTGGTAGTTAAGTTATAATCAAAATAGAAAATTATCTAATTTATATACTCACAATAAAAATATTTTTCCAAAAAAATTCTTTATTCATCATTGATTTACATTTTATTGATTTTATATTTTCAATTTAATATATTATTGTTTATTACAATTATCTATTAATATATTATGTATCATTCATAAATGCATATTATAACAAAATCTAATAATTTAATATTTAACTATGGTACTTAATTTATAATGTTTTTAATATTTTTAAGTTGAAAAAGTGGTGCTAATATCTAGATTCGTAGATAATACACCCTTACGAAATAACCCTACTCTTCAATCATGTATAACCAATGCGTTTTGTTACCTTCTATCAAGTATGGATGACCGTAGTACTTATGTTGCCACAAGAGCAACTCTTTTATTACCTACCATTCACGATTCTGCATTAAAAGTAATGTTAGTCAATTTAAGTATCTTATTTTATTTAATAAAATGGTTATTAATTATTTATATATATAGAGTTTGATTCATTGTATGGAAATGCATTTCGATACTGTCATGGTAGATAGACCCATGATATTACAATCTCTTTATCAGTTACACAATACTCTGAATGACAGGAAAATACTTTCATGGGAGTTTTTCTTAGGTCGGTTTGATGCCCTATTTATAGAAGCTCAGATACAGTTAAAAAAAAGTGGTGATATTACTCATGTAAGAGGTGAGATTATTCATACATTTATTATTTAAAATTAATCATTAACTAATATATACACATAAAACAAAAATATAATATGATAAATAAAAACATGTTTTTTTATTGTTATACCAGATTTAAGAAATTCTGATATCACAAGCGATTCATTTATTAAAAAAGTTCAAAGGGCTCATGAATCTATGGCATCTTCTTCAGAATCAAATTCTGTACGAACTTTGAGTGCAAGTTTTGGTCAAAAATGGCCATATAAGAGAACTATGTCTGCACCGGCCGCTACTTTAACAAGGAATGTCCCAAAACACAATGGTTAGGAATGCTTTACATATTATTTTTATTTAAATAAAAGTTAGTTGCTCATTTTAAAAGTGCTAAAGATTTGAAACTAATGGGTTATGATGATAAAAATATAAAATCATATAAATACATTAAAATATGTATACATTTTTTTATTGTGGTATCATGACATAGGGTGAACCTTTTACTCAATACTTACCCAAAATATTCAAATATGTATGTTTAGCTATGATATTTAATCATCATTATAAGTTAAAATAATGTTATAGTAATATGTGAAAACAATTTCTAGGTGATAAAGTATATAATAGACAGTTTTCTGCTCCAATTTTGAAAAGAAAAACTTCACAGCTTATTACACCGATTCTGTCAATCCTTCCAGGTAAAATGTATATTGCTTATTAACAACCAATATTATAATTTATAACAATTTTTCTTTTATAGATCATTCTTATGGAATGGATTCTCATGAAGATAATGCTAGTGAGCTCTTGCAAAAAATTGTTGATTTAGAAGAATCTGACAAAGAAACAAGCAGTCTGATTGTTTTTTTACTCATGCAATACATGTCAAGACCAGAGCATGTAATTTCAGTATTATATTCAATGCAATGTTTATGATAATAACAATTTTTTCATGATAGGCATATCCAGAAGAATCAAAACATGGAATAAGAGTTCAAGGTATTGTGTTGCAGCATTTATATTTATTATTGGGCTATAATTACAACGAAAAAGGATTTCTTATACCACCAGATAAATTAAGGTACTCATATAATATATCCATGCAATATTTTTAATAATATTATTTTTCTATTAAATATTAAAAAAAAAATTATTTTAGGGTTTTACCAGTTTTTAATTCATTTTTGTCTAATTTACCACAAATGTTGGACCAAAATTTCACTATGGGCCATGTTATTGCACCTACTGCATTGTTATTACTTCAATATTGCCCTTCACCCGAAACACATTCTATTAATGCTACTTATTCTTTGTGGTTTTTAGAACCAATGGCTAGAAAGTCATGGCTCATGTCTGTTATGGTTTATCTTTATAAGGTAAATTATTTATTAAATAATTAGTTTAAAGGGTTTATATTAATTTATCCATATTTTATTTTAGTACAATTTTGATAAGGAACCAGTCAGCCTCCTCGTAGTGTCATTAATGGAAATTGTTTTGAACACACTTAACGCACAACAACATGTCTGTAATAGAATACCTCCAACAGTTGTTATGCCTGATACATCAAAAACCAAAGGTCTGTTATTTTTGGGCCTCCACACGAGTTTTTCTCAGTGAGGCCCAGTAATCTTTCGATATTAATTTAAATAAAAAAAAAAAATTAAATTAAATTTAATAACATACTTAAAATATTTTTTACGTATATCAGTTGAAAAAAATGGTGAATCTTTGTACTCGGAATCACAAAAATTTTATGAATCCCAGCCATCTACCTCAAGAAAATATCCAACAAGTATGGAAACTCACTGGGAAGAGGACATTACATTTCGTAAAAGAACTCCTCATAAACAAGGATCTACGTATGTATTTTTTAAATTTTAATCTAACATATGCAACTACAATTCATTGAAATATTTAAATTAGTGGTTCAACTGAACCAGATGAAACAGAATCAGATTTGGCCATAGCTCCAGAAAAATATAAATCAGACAGTACTACTGGTCATTACAGTTCACATGTATGTATTTACAAGGTTGGGCATTGACAAGTTAAAGTTGAGTTACTTTTAACTAAAAAACTTTAAAAAAATTAATTGACTTGCCCAGCCTTGTGTATTTAATTATATATTATTTTTTATTCTTATAATTCCAAAAATGTCAAATATGAATAATATGATTAAATACGATTAAAGTAGTATATTGTAATCAATATTTATTATTTCTATATACATATACAGGGATCATTTGATGAGTCAGCAGATGAGGCTTTTAATAAAAAAGGACCACTTCGTTCATTTTGGTCTAATGAAAATAATGTCGATGTAAGAAAATAAATTCATAGTAATTATTAACAATAAGAAAAATTAAGTAAAATGATTTAAATAGAAAACGGATAAATGGGGTGTAAAAGAAGGAATGAAAATGTTAGCAACTTCAGCAATAATTAGTGTAGCCAATCAACAAAATTTTTTATCACAACCTATTTTAGCTACAACTTCTACTTCATCACCTGAAATAAACACAACATTAAAGTAATTATGAGTTTATGAGTGATGAGTATAAATATATATATAGAATTTAAGCAATGCTAGTACTCAAATGACAAATTGTTAGTTGTTACTCATTAGGATATGGCTTAATGGCTTATTATTATTGAGTATAATATTTTCTTTTGTAATTTGGTATTATTTTAGCTGAAAAATCATGATATAATATCAGTAAATAATTATTGTTGCAGAAAATCTGAAGAAATAATTGATGTTCAGAAAAAACAAACAACATTTTACAACCCAAAAGACATCAGTCAAACGTCCACGTCATCTTCTTCCGTTACATCTCACCCACCAATAGTTTCAAATATAAAAGAAAAAATATTTTTGCAAAAACCAACTCCAAAATTATATAACTGTCCTGAAACTCCTCTATCAAAAATGAAAGTTCATAAAAACTCATCTTTTTCTAAAGGTAATAACATAATCTTTTGGTTATAATAATATACCTACTGTAATACACATTAATAATAAAAATCTAAATACTTAGAATCGACCAGCGAAATTCAAACTAATTTGGGATTTAAATTGGAAGTTAAAATAGAAAAAAAACCATTGGAAATTCCAGTGCAAGAACGTCTTTTACCAATTGGAACAACTATAAATCTGGTGCAAAAAATGAACAAGACTTTTGGTTTAGGAGATATGGACTCAGCATCACAATCATCATCTCTTAATAGAGAAGATAGTTCTGAAAAAGAACAAGTATATCTTTGTATTCATATTATTTATTGTAAAATTAAAACAGCATAAAATAGATTTAATTTGGATTTTGGTATCATTTTCTATTGAGCCTAAATAGGTTTTATTATATTATACAATATATTGCTATTTTAATTTGGTCCACTAATCATTTTTTTAATACACATATTAAAGATTTAGTATATAATATAAATAGTAATTTTCGTATTTTATAGAAAAGTCCCCATAGCCCGCGGAAATTAACAAAACAAAGTGCTCTGGATAGTCCAGAAGACAACAAATCGTCAAATCTTTCTTCTGCAAGACGCTCTATGAATCATGGAAATGATTCACAAAAGAATTCTAATTACAAGTAACATATTAACATATTATAACATACAAGTTTAGTAAATTAGATTTAATTAATATTCATTATTGAGTTTAGATTGTTTTTCAAAAATTAAATAAGTTTCACTCTTAAATTATATTAGTATGTGCGGTCTTTATTATGCATAAATGATGACAACATTGTTGTCTAAATCCATGTTTTCTAATATATTATATTATATATTTATATATTATAATATATATATATTTTTTAATTGTTTATCATTTTACTTATTTACTATGTACCATAAAATACTCAGGTTTTAATTTACTTAAATTAATCATAATTATAGTTGGAAAAGTAACTGATTCAATGATCAATATATTTTTAATTAAAAATAATTAGAGTATATGATATAGAGTATAATAAATGAGTATATAAGTGCATTAACCCATCAATAATAATTTTATTATTATGTACAATATATTAATATTATATTTTTTATTGTGTGCCACATTAAGCAATACCTAATCTCTGGCTAGACGTTGATATATTATTCGATTGGTAAAATAAATGTCAGATTAAGTTATAAATAGGGCATGGATTTAAATACAATAAAAAACAAAAAAAAAATGCCTTAAAAACATACAATTTAATACACTAATAGGTATTACAAAGCTTAATAAAATGCCCAGAAAAATAAAAAATTTAAAAGCCAATTTAAATGGATATAAAATAAAATTTAGATAGGTACTTATATGTATATTTGTTATACTTTGTTCATTATAGCAGCTGGTCAATCAGATTCTATTTAATATTCTCAAATAAAAATGTATTTCTTTATATAAACAAATTTAAGGTAAGTTCTTATAAAATTTACAAAAAATGACTTCAAACCATAAAAATAATAACAAATAATTTTTGAGCATCGGCCCACAGGTTCCTGGTAGATACTCCAAGAGTAGATAATATATCAATTACAATCTAATTTTTTTTTACTTATTAATTATTTATATTTTTTACTCTTAAATAACAATTAAACTTATTCAATAATCTACAATGTCATAAATGTTATGTAATAATTTTTTTTCAACCAATCTACTTAGAAACGCCCATGCTCGAAATTCGGATCCTCCAATTTACGAAGCTTTTTCTGCCAATAAAAATGTCAGCAATAGCACAAGTCGCATTGGAATAGATTGTATACAAGAAAGGTATACATTGTATAATAATTAATATGTAGAAAGTACAAAAATACATATATATTTAATTATCTATAGGTGTAGTGATTGTGGAACACGTAAAGAAGAATATAGTGATGATGAAATTGGACTTTGTATTGTGTTGTTAGGAACTTTTGTACACCGATCTCCTTCAGTTGCTGCGTGTCTTTTACCTGAAATACTGACAGTATTAGCCAAGTACTCACTTAAAAAATCATTATTTTACTTGGGATTTTTACATAATAAGTAATTTTGTATAATAGATGTCACTCTAAACCTACTTTTTTATGGCAAAAAGAAAGTCAAAAATTTTTGCCATGCGGTTCAACTAGTATTGCAAAAAAATTCTTAAGATGTATACTTTATCAACTTGCACCAAATGGAGTGTTTGCTCAAATATTTCAAATGAAACATAATGGTAATATTTGTAATAATTGTATACTATAAATTATAGTGTTTTATATACAAAAAATTATTTTATGATTATAGAAAGCAATGATAATAATTTCTTTAAGAGTATTATACAAGCTTTAATGGATTTTAATGAAATGAATCCTATCGAGCCATTACAAATGGTTTTAGAAGTAAGTAATACACCTATAAATTTATTATTTATCTAATATTAACTAAACTACCAATCTGACTTATCTAAGAACTGTTTTCAAGTTTCAAAAAAAAAAAATTCTTTTTTATAAGCTTAACTTTTTGAAATGTAATGAACTAAAGTACGCTTGAGATAACAAAGTGTTATTTAGAGTTTAAAAGTGAAAAAAATAGCTTTATCTTTAACGTTAATATAATATTTACAAAATATTATTCCTATTAGAAAATATTTATGATTTAATTATATGAGGAGTAACAAAATTACCTGACAAATTAAATAACTTTTGATCTAATCAATAATTTAAACATTTTTTCATATATAATTTATAGACGTTTGCGCAGTGGCGGTTCTAGCGTATGGGCATGGTGGGCAGCTGCCCATACCAACATTTCTGGTGCCCCTTATTAGGGAAGGGGGAGGAAATGAGGAATATTATTCTCAGTTAAAACCTAATTATAAATCTACTGTTTCCCATTCGAAAATTTAGTCCTAGAACCACAGGGGTGCCCCTGTGCTTGCGTTACAAGTACAGTATGTACAGTATAACATTTTTATTTTTATTTTCATTTTCTAATACTGAAAGTAAACAAATTTAATATGATTATTTTTTTTAGGAAAAATCAAATATAGCCAATTTGTAAATCTTATAATTAAAAAAAAAAAAATTTGATGGTAAAAATGTTGGATGAGACAAGTAGTTTATATTTTTGCAATTTTTATAATATCAATATTTTTAAGGCCTATTATCCTTAATATATACATTTTAATAGGCAACTCAGAAACTACAGGTGTGATTTATATAGATGAACTTTTTTTTAAAAATCATCTGCTTGATATTTCAGTACTTCACATTAAAACAGATTGGTTCTCATTTAAAATACAGAAATTTGAATCGCCACCGAATGCTCCTAAAATGGTATAAAAATCGGACCAATTAAAAATAAGGTCCTCAAGTATATTTAAAAATTCCAAAAATCGAAATTGAATAAACTCTTTACTAAAGGAAAAATTGGAGTGAGCATGCTTGGTTAAAACCATTTTAATTAATTGGGGACATCTTTTATTTTGGAATAAGATAATGCCATTAATCAATTTAATAAACATTTCTACAAAAATTAATATAAAGTTGTTCTTGTTCATCAAAATATTTCATACTTGTTTATAAATGTTTAAATTTCAGAATTTTCTGTACATAATTAATCTCAAATTCATGTTTTGTCTGACGGTTGATCCATTCTGGGTGTAATACTTTAAGTTTTTGTTACTTATTTCTCATAATTTAGTATACTTAAAACTTTATTTTTCAGGTCTTAAATTCTAAAAAATCATTGTCAACAGATGATTGTTGTATAATGTTATTTAATGTTACATATTATATTGATATATTAACTACAGACACAACTACCACCACATCAACATTGGTTTGGACAACCATTCTTAATCAATTTGACACGTTGTTTAGAAAAATTCAATTAACAATAAGTAGTTTTGAAAATATTAATTTAATATTAAAGCTGATGATTACAGTATTGAAAATACCAGGAATCATTTCAACTAAGGTAAAATTTAATGTTAAGAAATAAAATAAAATATTTTATCACCTTTTATTGTTGTATTTAGTAACTAATAATGAATCCTTTGTATTTTTTAGAGTATTTTGGATCCATTTTCGAAAATATTAACTTATGCTCTCCAACAACACTATATTGATTATTATTTATTAGTTGATCTTTGTTCATCAAGTTACAAAACATTTGCAAGGGTAAGAAAGGTCCAATGCTAGTATATTATATAAATAGTTTAACTCTAGTTCATAACCTAACTGTAACTGTAACTCATTCATCTTAATAAATAATCTATTTAAATTTTTAATTCATAGGAAAGAGAAAAGACAATATTAACAAGAGCTGTAACAGTAGAGTTAATACAAGCATTAAAATTCAAAACACAGAATCTTAATAACAACCTTTTAGTTTATGTTGCCTTTATACTTCAAGTAAAATTAATAAAAAACTTATTTAATACATTATGAACAAAGATAGCATATATTATTATTAAAATTGTTTCAGGATATTGGTGGAATATTACCAGAATGCTCAGCAATCGATAATATAGTGCCAACTTTTCCATCAATCGTGTCTAGTGTACCAACAGGTGCTTCAGAACTTTTGCGAAACAATTTACAAGATATTTTAGATTTCTTAACAGATTGCAATACTTTGACAAAATTAAAGGTTTATTACCCTAAATATATTTATTTTTTTAAATTATATACATTATAAATGTAAATCTATAAATACGTGTAGAGTCGATGCACAACACCTGAAGAAGGAATTAATGAGGATACATTTGGGAGTACCGTGAAAGCTGGTATGTCTCAGTACCTGTCATTAGAACTATTAAAAAGTAACACTCGAGATGCAAGATCACTACATAAGATATTCCCTTGGTTATATTATGGACCCAATGAAATACAAACCATCGGGTAAACATGTTTTTGTGTGTTATTGTATATTGTGTTAAACCTTTAAATTGCTTAACAATTTTTTTTTTTTTGTAATTAGCATCAAAATATAAGTAAAATATTATTTTGAATTAAAACTATTTTTTTTATGGAGGGATGTTATAGAGTACATAATTTACATCTGGATATTAAACTATTCTATTCAATACACATTTGTTTGTATATTTATTTACATCGTATAATACATATTAAAAGTGCATTTCAGATTATTTATATACAATTGTAAAGACTTCTCGGATTGTCTCAGTCACATACGTTTATTATCTTGGATTTTAATTGGATCACTTTCATATACAACAATGCAGAATAGACCTTGTCTACCACTATCTCAAGATGTTTCATGTCAAATAGCTGATCATGTTAATGTAATAATGACCGGATTTGCAGAAGAATCAAAATCATCAGTAATTCATATGTCATCACTTTTCCACGCATTTGTACTTTGTCAAGTAACGATAAACAATTATATAAATAATAATATAATATATTATAAGACTCCCATATCTAAAACCACTGATCGAAATCCATAAAGTCAAAACATTATAGTGATAATTATTTATTTATTAGTTGTGGACAATTTATATGGAACAAACAGCTCAACAAATGGTAACAGCTGGCGATCATCACTCATTTACAATGAACATATTACACGATTTTTGGAATAAAGTTACTCAAAGTATGCTAAACTTGTCTTCCAAATCTAAAACGGTAAGATAAATTATTACCAAGTGCTCAAAAAATATTATTCATTACAATGTAAACATTATCAAGTTTAATATTATGTATGTCTATTTATTTTAGATGGGAGAAATGGTAAACTTGCATTTTTTGAGTTTACTTGAAGCATTACTAGAATGTCGGACAGTGACATTGTGTAAACTTATACCTATGTGGAAAGAGGTTTTATTTACTGATAAAAATATTAAGGTACAATATTTGATATGTCTTGTAGTTATATCTTGATATATATATATATATTGATTATGTAAGGAGTAAGTTATTATATTTATTAGTAATGATTTATAAATCTTTTATTTACAGTTACCAGGCCATATGAAATTACGTTTAGATACATGTATTGAATTTGAACCTAGAGAGCCTCCGACAGTTAAGCCTAGATCTGATCTTTCCAAATCAGAAGTCAATTTAGATATTCTTAAATGGCTACAAACGTTACAATTTAAAATGGCACAAATTGAACTTCAATCATCCCAAGTCAATGAATTTTATAATGTATAAAATAATGGAAGTTAATTACTTATACGTAGACTCATAGCATTGAACCATCAATAGAAAAGTGATTCAATAGTCAACTAATATTTTTCCTGTTTATAAGAGAGGTCATAACTAGGCTGAAAATCATTTTTTCACATAAAATTAAATGTTAAACAAGGGTAATAAAGTACAATATTATGTTCTGCTTTTTTGTGTTATTCTCAGATATAGTCAGGTATATAAAATATGATAAACCTCAAAATGAGTATTAAATAGTCAAACATTTTAATTTAGGTAGGTGCTAAAATTTATTGTAATAATTATATACATTTTAGTGACACTATTTTATAATTAATATAGTCTGTTGAATCAGGTCTTATCATTTTCACAGTAGAGACAACACATGTTCATGCAATAAATATCAAATGTATTTTTCTCTTATGTTTTTAATTCATAAGTTTTAAGTATCATTGTCATGTAGACAACATTTTAAAATGTAGCTATTTGTATTTTATTTAGAAATTAAATTAAATGTAATGAATTGTTTAATATAATATAATTAAATATATTTTTTGTTTTAAACACTTAATTTTAACAAACCATTATATTTGTCAATTCTTGATAACTACATCTAAAAAAACATATATTATTATCATAGATTTATTTATACATTTGATGTAAAATATAATATGGGATTATATAAAATATAATTATACAGGAAATAGATAATAAAATATTTATTTAGGAAAACATTAAAAGTTATTGTGGTTTAAAGTCATAATCATAATTGGTTGATTATTGCCTACATATAACAATTATTTGTACTATATCCCATGAATAATTCAAAGCAATATCCTTTTATGTATGAGAATATTTTGAGAACATTTATGTGATATTTTTTTATGGTGGTTCTGAGTATTTTTCCCACAGTTGGTCTAAATATTATATATATTCCCTATCGTTAATACTTATCTATTTAATAACTGGGTCCACGACCCATGTTAAACTCACTTGTTTATATAGCCTATTTATAATTATTTCTGATTGTATGTTAACTTCTAAAGAACATAATTTATACATAATACATATTATTATATTGCAATTATAGGAGTATTGAACTCTTCAAATAAATAAATAATTTATATGGATAAATGTATGATGTACATTCTAACTATTATAAGATATTTATAGAATTATAATCTGATTGTAGTTCTACAGATTGTGATGTAAGTTAATCGTACATTTAAAGCAAGGGTACTACTACTTAAAAAAAATGTTCAGCTGAGTTGGTATCTTCAGAGCATAGGGATAGTACCAGACATATGAAATATATAACTAAAATATTATATTCAAAAAAGAATAGTTTTAATCGTATCTGATGTAGGTATTTACAATTAAATAATATCTTAAATTAATAATGAATACTAATATGCCTACTGTAACTAGGATTTAGAGTCTTCTTTTTTCATATTTTGTACTTCTCTTTTAAGTTTTTCTTGTCTAGCCATTACTTTCTTTCTCTTCAAGGAATAAGCTGTTGGTTTCTTGACTCTAGGAGGAAAGGTTTTTCTAATGACGTCTTTCATAGCTTGAAATACATCAACCTAGAAGAACGCCAAAAGTGAATTTTTTTAAATTTTATTTGACATCATTATTTTAACTTACTGTTTGAGATAAATGAACATAACGTATCAATCTTGATTTTAAAAAGAAATTATCACAAGAATACCGTTGACCATTTGGATCAGTAACAGTAACATCGCATAAGGTCACGTTCATATCACTATAAAGCATAATATTAACAAGTATTTAAATAATCATTTTCTAACTAAAAATGTCAATGCTTATGCAATACCAATCAACTTCTTTAACGAGTCCGTACACAGAAGTTTCGTTTTGTAAATCAATAGTGGTGTATTGATTTTCTACTGATTTTACCAAACAAACTAAACTTTCCACTGTCTTCATTTTCATCCTACGAGTTTTTCTCTCCATATTTTTATATTTAAATCAATATATTTTAAAAAATTGTAAATTACGGGCACGGATATTAACGTTTTTTATTTATTAACAATTAATGTACAACAAATACCATTGAAATTTAAGTTATTTTTAATAATTACAAATTAAATAAATTTAAACCGATATAAATTCCGAGTTCCGACTGGTTTATCCTAGTTAATTTGTAGATAACAAGTTTAAACATATTATTACAACAACTCACAAGTTCGAAATTTAACGACTACCAATTAGCAAGACCAAACACGAAATTACGTCATTCGTTTATGGATAGCGCCATAGCGGTGACGGATGTTAACCGCCTTTAAACCTGTTGATTGTCGAATCATTCAATGGACAATGAATAATGATGAGAATGAGATAAATCACTACAAAACAGATAAGTATGGTGGCCCATATCAAGATAATGTCTGGATTGTGTAATCTCTTTTCTATGAATGTCCAGCTGTTAAATACTGATTATAGAGATTCATTTCGGTAGACCCTTTTCAAATATGGCAAAGGGAAATGGTGATCACTGGGTCAATAGGGGAAACAGGCATCCATATTAATATTATTTATGGTATTCGGAAAATAAAGTCCCGGAGAAAAATGATCTCTAAAAGGACGCTACCCGGACAAATGAAACCGTATAACGTTCGAGAGAATGCGCTGTTATGTGTTGTCTGCAGTTAGTTCTTCGATCTTAATATCTTATATAGTTATATTATAAGATCCGCCGATCGTATAAGTCTTATTTATTTTAGTATACCTGTAGCGTTTGTAGTTTTTGTTTGAATTTCTGGCAGTCAAAAGTGATTGATAGACGATAGTCGCATTTCATAATGGAAAACCAGCTTAAAAGCTTAAGGTAGGCAAAGTAAAAATATGCAGGAATCAAAGATGTTATGATAATTATTATATTAATAATTCATAATTAATAGGTAGGTAACTATTTTTATTCAACATCACGAAGATGGTAATCGGAAAAAAAAGTTTATTGGAAAATTTACCAAAATACTTTTACTAATATTTTTAGGAAAAAAACTAAAAAAAAATGGAAAATGAAAATGTCCCTAAACAATTCAAAAAAAATCAAAATATTTTGAAAATGTTATCGTGTATAGAAAATGCAAATATAAACAACCAGTGAAAATTTCATGTATTTACTGTCATTTGTTTTAAAGTTACACCAAAAACCAAATTAAATTTTGTGAAAAATCGATTTTGCGTAAACATTCCCGTTTTTCCTTCATTTTTCATTTTGACCTCCCCAATGCACCAACGATATTCACTTTCCAATCGAACAAGATACTGAAGTTGAAAATCGAAGCATTATTTCGACTACTTATCGTGTACACGGACACAAATAAAATTAAAAATTAAAAAAAAACACACATCATTGTAAAATCAATACATTCATCGTTCCACTCAGAATCTAAAAAATGAACGATAAACTGGGATTTCTAAGCAAAACTAGCTTTGACAAAATCAATCTAATTTGTTCAATGTAACTAAAATACTAATATTGTCTAATAACCACAAATGCTTAACATTTTTACCGGATGTTTGAACCATAATTTTCAATATACAATTATATTCATAGGCATAAGAAAATTTCTATTTTCATTAGTTTTTTATTTAAATTATTGTTTATTGTTAAAAAATTTTTTGCGTAGTCAAAATACTTGAAAAGTTAATACAAAGCTCCTCACAAATTCTTCTAAATGGAAATTAAAAAAAAAAGTTTGGTATAAATCAAATGATGTTTTATGAGAGTCTGAACTCTGAAGTTAGAATTTTCACAAAATTAATCAAAATCACAAAAATGTGCAAAACAACAATTTCAATTTGGAATACCTACTTAAAAAAATTTATTTCTATGATTTGAAATTTTAATATAAGATTTCTCATAAGTTTTCCTACCTTTAACAAAACCAATAAAAGTTTACCGGAAATTCAAATTACGTTTTTTATGAGCATTTGAAATTATATTTTTTAAAACATTTTTCCAGATTTGTCAATTTTTGAACTTTAAATGCTTATAAAAAAAAACTGTGATTTAGGATTTTTATCATTTTTCATTTGCCTTTGAAACAATATACTAGGAGCGTTTTATTAAATTTTCAAGCTTTTTTAACCAACAAATAAAATTTTATTGATATTTTTAGAAAAAAAACTAAAAAAAATGGAAAATGAAAATGTCCCTAAACAGTTCAAAACAAATCATAATATTTTGAAAATTTTATTGTGTATAGAAAATTCAAATATAAGTCCAGTGAAAATTGCATGTATATGCGTTCATTTGTTTTAGAGTTTCACTAAAAACCAAAATCGATTTGGTGGAAAACCAATTTTGAGTAAAAATTACCGTTTTTCCTTAATTTTGATGTTGTTTTTCCCGGCGCTTTAGAAAACGATATTGGGAATTTTAAATTTTAACCTCCCCAATGCACCAACGATACTCACTCTCCAATCGAACAAGATACCTACTGAAGTTGAAAATCGAAGCATTATTTCGACTACTTATCGTGTAAACGGACACAAAAATTAAAAAATTAAAAAATAAATAAAAAACAACACACACCATCGTTCCACTCAGAATCTAAAAAAAACAAACCAAAAGCTAAAATAATTATTGATATTTGATTTGATCATTAAGAGGTGGGTAGTATAAGTATATAGGCATAGATGATTATTAATTTCTGGGTCTCCCCAAAAAAAATGTTTTACACTTCCCTGCCTGTGAAATCCCAGGAAATCTAAATCTGTGGACGACACAATATATTACTATTTTTTTACAAGGACTGTGGGCTCCCTAATATTATGATGTTACTTATTAATTATTATATTTATAATACGGGTTATAGCAGTACGGCTGAAATCAGCGAAATCCTGCAGGTTGCAACCACCTTACTGGGTGGCTACTGCAACAGGCTAATGAAGCAACACACATGCAGTCATGCGCATCGGCGCGTCGCAATCACCACCGACAGCCGATAATGCGATATTGCGATAATCTAATCTTCCAGAGAATATTGGACGCTACTTATCAACGTCGTAAAAATTGACGTTTGACATAATATTATTATTCTACCATGGCCGCACTACCGTATCCCGCGGCTGAGTTACCGAGTTGAGTGAGTACTGAGTAATAATAAACAACAAATAATAATAATAATAATATTGTAATAGTAGTATAAGTGCCCACTATAAAAAAAAAAAATTAATAATAAAAAGTAATAAATAATAATGATATGTGCCGATTGCCGATTACGAGACTATTATAATTTATAATGAGTGCCTACGGTTTCTGATTATGTGTCGCGATTTTCTTGGAAATACGTCGTTACACTTATTGTGCTCCACTAAAAAAGGAGCATCGCCATCCTATTTGTTCTGTTCGTTCAGATAAATAATAATCGAATCTTTTATCATCCACGGATCGTTCGCGTTTCAGTGTTTCACCGACAAAAATTGTAATAGATTTGTTGTTGAATGTTCGTAGAGTTTTCATCCGCTCGGAAATAGTATCGGTGCCCAGCCGATACACGACGAAATGATGGACTCGTCCATTTCCATCAAAGTGCACGTAGCTGTCCAAGCGACTCCTCATGAGATACCCGTCACCATCAACACGACCGTGGAAGATGTAATTATCGAGACTTCGAAGCTGTTGAACATTGGCCCGGTGGCCAGGCATTTATTTGGACTGAGAGTGTTGAGCGTCACGGACGACAATCTGTGGTTGAGTCCCTCACTATTCATACTGTATGCCAAAAACGAACACCACGTCTATGAGTACAAATTGAGATATAAAATGCCGGACGTCAAACGACTGAAGTCGATTGATTGTTATGCATATAATTTCTACTTTTATCAAGTTAAATCTGATCTATTGAAGAGTAAAGTCACTGGACTGTGCTATGACACATGCAAACGAGAGCTCATTGGCATGGGCGTTGCTGACATGTACAGGTCCATATTAGAAGAGGACAAATCCAGAGAAATTGTCGAACAAAATTATAAACAGTTTATGCCCCAAGAAGTTGTTAAGCAACACATGTTTTTTTTGAAAAAGCCCGTACAGGAAACATTAAAAATACTTATAAATAACAATACGATTGGCAATCTTTATATACCTGTTATCAAAGAAAGTTATTTGGAACAATTCAATTCTATTGCACCAGATTATTTAGAAGAAGAATATAAGGCATTATACAGTGAAAATGGCAGCTCTGTAAATGTTGCATTCAGAGTAAATCCATTTCATTCTGAAATGCCTGGTGTAAGAATGAGTATTGAAAACAGGAAAGAAGTATGTTAAGTTTTTATAGTGTGTAGGTAGATACATTTCTTAACCAATACTTGTTTCAGTGGGTACATTTGGCAGCTATTGAAGACTTGTGTTTTCTATCAACCACTGATGATGGCACTGTTGAAATATCTAGGAAGACTGGTATACCAATTCATTTGAAATTCTTAAGTACAAGTACGATGATTTCGTTCATAACATTACTGAATGGCTATTACCGTTTAATGGTTAATTGGAATTTTGATTTGTGCGCATCTACTAATACTCCATCTTTAAGCAAACTTAAATCAATTCGTTCTCATGGACCTATCAGGTACCTGTTTTTGTGTACATTAATATATTATAATCTAGGAAAAACATATACTTCCCACTAAATAATATAATTACGTAAGCAATTATTTATTACATTCATTATACCTACCTTAAACACATTTACTGCGTTTTTCCCAAACAGTACACTTTTAAAATCCATACAGTTCATCTTGGCACTCAGCAACCGTCACAATTTTAAATAAACAGTGGTCAGAAAACTATAGTTAATATACAACTATAATTTATTATACTAAAAGAAATAGTTTTTTTTTAGGTAATTTTTTTACAATTACGGAGTGCCAAGATGAACTGGATAGGTTATGACTTGGTTTATATAACCAAAACTAAATACTTAATGTTAAACATAAAT